GGTCTACATACGTTTTTGTGAGTGCAACTTCAGCAAAAGATTACGAAATATACTCTCCTTTGTGCCGTTAATGATGTACTTCGTGTCACGCATCTCCAAGGTACAAACTGTAAACTTAGCTTTATGGAAGGTGTTCATGAGAAACAATCGTTTTTAAGTTACTGTTTTGGAATTGAATTAACTGCAAAAACTATCTTCTAGCTTGGCATTAACGTATTCCCCTGGCATGAGAAAACTGCCAAAGCTGATGCTTCCGATTTAGTGATCCACCATCGCTGAACTTGCTGACTACAGTACGAGAGCGAACATGACTCCGAGCTTCATACACAACTCTTCACGACATTTAGTCATTTCAGAAATGTGGCAACGGGCGAGCGTATAGGCCTTGCATTTTCTAAACCAGGTACCCAACGACCACTCTGTCCCAAGTGAAATGCCTGTGAATGTCTCTACGCCCATGTATATTTCAGAATTTCACTCCGATTGGGCAATACAGAGAGAAAATAGCTGCGGTTGTACTTTTTTAAGCATAAGCTTGTGGCACATTAATAAAAAAATATCCACTTCCATATCAGCCCCGTTGATCAAGAAGATGATGGCCAATGTTGTAGTCAGTTTTTTTGTGGTGAGACGGAGTAACGAATATAGATAATCTGACTTGCAGAGGAGTCCACTTCATCTCGAGACATTTCTCGGTGGATGTTTCGGTAGCGGAGCCCTCACACACCGGGACTTCATCTTGCATACGCTGTCAATCCCGTAGATTACCTCAGTTTTCCGGCTGCCATCTATCTACATGCCACAGCTTTAGAAAAGTGGGCTAGCTACAGCGGCCTTTGTTAGGGAGACAGCAGGTATTAATATAAAGGCAGCGGGTGACGTGCCTCAACAGACTCATCCAAGCAGAAACTTTCTTGTAGAGTGATTGCTTACGATCCACAAAGCTTTTAATCAGGAAGAAACTCCAGGCATTTCATGGTAGGACTGTGGATTATTGGCCGCTCTTCAAAAATGCGATGTCCTTGGTGAGACAAAATCATCCGAGCGTCATAGGGAGCCAATCATCGGAAATGGAAGCATACTTGAATTTAGAAGCATTTTTGAGGAATATCCAGGGCAGTTTGGTTGTTTGATTCTATCAAGTTGAAGTTCGTAAAACAAAACACTTACACACATGGTTGTCTCATGTCATAATATAGAGACGGCATACACATTATTTCACTGAGCCTCAAGAAAACTCAGATTATGCATCAACCGGCTCCTGAGAGCAGTGGAGCTGGAGCTTAGGATACAAATTAACCAACAACTTAACTCAATCAGCAAGTTCACATATCTGGGAAGCACAGTGACAAATGACACGTAGTCTGGACCAAGAGATTAAAAATAGAAAAAGCAGAGCCTCATCCGCTTTCAGTTACTTTCGATAGCAAAAACGGGACAAACCAGGCATCGCCCTAAGGACAAAGTGCAGTGGAGAGAGCAGGCGTTGTAAGCACTCTCCTTTATGACCCTCAAACTTGGAGCTCTTACCATCGCCGCTTACATCATCAACTCGACAATCTCCAGCAAAGACATCCGATAAGTCTGATGGGGATCAAATGGCAAGACAAGAGTAACGAACACTGAAGTCCCTGCTCGAGTAGGAACGAATGCTGCCCCAATTATGGTCATCATTTCCCAGCATTGCTGGGCGGGACACTCAAGTCAGAATGGGATTTTTAAAAAAAACATACTTCCAAAACGATTGCTCTATATTCAATTGCATGCAAGGCTCGAGAAGTAGAAGTCAGCGCTCGCACGATAAGGATGTATCCACTCAAGTTTGAGATGTAGAACTCCTGTAGATTGACGGGAAAAGCTCGCTAAGACAGACAACAGTGCGCAGGCTTGGTTCAAGCTACTCGGTTAGTTGGAGAGACAAAGAGTCTTGAAGACACTGAGAAACAAACCAGGATGGAAGGGTCGGAAGCGGTGTTTCAGTTGACCGGTGAAGTTCGATCTGGAGGTACCCTCAGCCGAATCAAAGTGCGTGTGATCTCTGTGGAAAGGTGTGTGCCGTTCAAAAGCTGGTCTTGCTCGACACAAGAAAAATCACAGGAAATAAACATAACGACCGTATAACGATGCCGGACTGCCAAATCCAGATGCAAGATAGGTCATTATCATTGGGGACGGACTGTATAATGACACGCATTATACAACTATATACGTCCGAGATTAATATGCTCCAGATGTACAGAATCTTGAGATGTGGTTACATTGTGACGCTATATAAATCAGAATTTTATTGCAGTCATTGTCGTGTATTGAATACAAAGAAATATGGCTGTTAGCCAAGGATATCACTGAGAAAGCAAAAGATTCAATCAACGAGCATTAATGACTTCTGTAGCAGATACTGTTGGGAGAGTGGAATTATGTCCATGTGCCGTCACAAGATGAATCTGCTCAGACAGGTAGCAGGTGCATTCGGCTGAGAGCTGTGAAGCAAAGTGTTACGACTGCCCGGCGAGATGAAATGTGAGACGTAATACCTTTTAAGAGATCCACAGCCACCGCACAAGCTTCCTTACGAGTGATGCAGGGTCGATGGTTTGTGCAGCAATGCATGAAAAATTGTAGAAAGCGTGTTGCTTAGGAAACCAATTGATGGCAAGACAATAGCCTGTAGTGCTTTAAATTGTCCACAATTTCTTTCACAACAACCTCTGCCATAGTTTTGCCTACTGCAGGGGTAATTGAGATTGATCTGAAAGTGTCTGGGTTTTGTGGATTGCCCACTTCATTTTACAGCTACTTTAACTGCATGCAGTTATACCAATTCTAATGGTATGCTAAACGGCTTTGTCAGTGGTGAATGTGCACCAAAAAAGGTAGGCTTAGCTGATAGGTTTGCTGAGGATATCGTCCCGAGGTAGTCTACATTTTTGTAATCGTTGACCATAACCAGAACTTTTTGGACATTTCATGAGCACCATTTAAATGCTTTGAATTGGAGGTAAAAAAGTGATCGTAACAATGTATATCGACAAGTCATTTATAATAAATTTCAATGTTTCTCTAATTATATGCACGCACGTGTCCTGCATACTTGGTTTTACGATCATCAAACTGCACGTAAATAACGTTCAAGTCAGCCGTAATTAAACCATTCATAAATTAACACGTAATTCTTAATTTAGTAATAAAAACCACGTCTTCAATTTTAATTGAGGTTTTTTTTGTACAATTAATATATGAAGGAGCTTGATTAATGTGTCCATCAAATCATTTAACGTGTTAATTTTTGAAAAATCACCCAGACTAAATGTGATTTTAAAGAGCTGGGGTGCGTTAAAAAATACGTCTTTCGAAGAATCATGAAGGGCAATGTGCTGAAGAGGTCCCATGATAAAATGATCTACCGCTCCGTGACATTCGTAAAACATCGTGCGATGCAGATATTACGTAACCTTTGCGGCCAACTGAGCAATTTTGCCCTACTGAATGGTAAAATTGAGAAATTCAAGTGAAACCTGCAATATCGAAGATTTTACAGACATTGCATTGCGGTATTAAAACTAAAACACTTTGTTCTATTCATTTTGGCTAAGTTGACTTTCATGGATGTACATTTCACCATCACGGGAAAATCGATGATTTATTGTGACTAAAAGTAATCCATCAAGTTATATCCCAATATTGATTATCTGATTTTAAACTGCCCGTTGGCATCAGTGTTCTACTGTGAACGGCATCTGGATATATTCTGCAAAGGAACTGAATGGCTATGTAGAGAACACAATGGGTTCCAGACCATCCAACATCGAACATTCACCCTTCCAAGCACCTTTCTGGGAATATTGGTAAGGCCACGTGAATACAAAACACCCTTCGTCAGAGCTGTCTGTAGATGTCAGTTTGGTTGATGTTTTTATGACAATATGAACCAGTGATGCAGGGTACATCGCATCAGCACTGCAAGCGAGATTAGCCAGTCCATCACCCCATGAGCTTTGGTACAATGGGTGTTCACATTCACATGAAAAGAATAAAGCAACTGGCGTTGATCGATGATCCCACAGCTCAGAAATTACATGCCAATTACTCAATTGAAATTACACTAAGCAACATCGCCCCCTACTGAAAAACTTGCTGAACCCTTATTAAAGTCTTGGGAGCCCTGGGTAAACGAGCATAATAAAATATTAAATATCCGGTGTTCCCGATTCGGCGATGAAAATGCTACATTCCCATGTTTCTCTCCAGCATTACCATTCTTATTTTCACTCCAATTGCTTCTTACAAGGTGGTATTCATTCCACTGAACCTGAAGGGATGATGGACTAAGTCAACTCTGACCTTTAATTAATGAGTTGAAAAGTAAATTCATAAAGCAGAAGCTGGATATAAGCACACCTTATACAAGGACAGTTCTCAAATGTAACACAACCTTGCATCACACTGATGTGGAAGGCAAACAAAGGGTAACTTCTAATAGGGTTAGGGGTGTGCTTATATTCAGCTTCCATTGCATATGCATATCGATGCAATATAATTTACATGATGTTAAAAGCAAAAATCTCTTCACAGTACTCGTAAATTTAGGGCATAAAATGTTGTCGACAAAATGATATATGTATATAAAATAGTCCTTATTTAAATACCACCTTTAATTGCCTGTTGAACCAATCAGAAAGCTTTGCCCTAGGTTATATGTACAGTATATGAACACAAAGCAGAAGGAGAAAAGCGCATCAATATTTTAAGAGCTGCTTCCCAAAATCATTCGGATCAAATCGAGTCAATACAACTGCATGGAGTTATTAAATAAAAATCAGTGGTGCCTGCAAATGTAACACTCAATACGGCAGCTCTGATTTTAACTCAACCGCAAGCACTGTACTGTATAAGAAAATAGATTTTCATGAAAACGGATTGCACAAAACAGTGCTTACATTTGTTGTAATAATGGTCTGCTAAAAAAGACATGTAGGAACGTAAGAACCCAGCAGCAGAAATGAAGGTAAAATACAAACATTTATTGCAAGTTTGTTTTTTTTGCAATAGGCTATACGCATCAATGAATTAAGGTATTTGCTGACTGCACAGTTTACAGTACATTTGTACAAGAATTGTCATGTCTGCTCGTGATTTAACACCATTAGCTAGTGGGCAATAGCTGCTGTTTGTTGAAGCTTAACTTTAATGATAATTACAGCATGGCCACATAATCTACTTTGTCCCCTATGGTATTTGATTGCAAGACCACAACAATAAATATCTTATTTATTCATATTTTAAGCATGTCTTGCCCAAAGGCCAGCTCTTCTACAAAACATGCAAGTTTTACATATGCTGAAATCATGCACATGGAATAGCAGTTCAACTTGTAATGACGGATCTCTTAACAAATACATTATGCTCTTCAACGTTTTTTTTCAAACGGGTTTCAGTTGATCGCATCACCGTTGGAGTCAAGCAAAGCCAAGCAAAATTACAGCTGTGGCACACTCTGCCTATTAAGAATGAAGAGAGATAAAACTCGCGTAATCAAATGACTTTGAAGGACATGAAAACTGGAAAACAACATTGGTTTTCAAGAGTCAGAACATCATGCATGAAATAGTCCCCGCACATTGCAGACTGCTGTTTTCGCAAAAAAGCCAACAATGAAGTAGCACCTCATTAAGGAACAGCATACATCAGTGAGTGTGGGACAATGATAGGAATTCAGTCTTCATAGTCGGAATCACCATCCACACCCAGCGCAGAAAACTTGCTGACAGAGCTGAAACTCTGAAATATGAAGATAAAAAAGCAATCAAGCACCCAACAACACACGTGACGTGAAACTGCATAATCTTGATTTCAACTCAATTTATTTTCAATGAAATTCAGCATACCTCACACACACGTTTACATCGCCACATTTTTTGTAAGCGGAAAAAATATTACATACACTGCTTAACCTTCAAATGTCACAGTAGCTATACATATACTACCACAGAGTAAAACCGGGAGAGTGTGATTACACGCTAGGGTTCAAGTGTTGGTATTGGCTCTTGACGCTCAATTTAGCATCTGCACAGAACTCACCAGTGGCTCAGGCTCATCGTATTTCTTTGTTTCGATCAGCCGAGACTCTCGCTCTTTCCGGCTCTCCTTTCTGTCGATAAAGCAGCTATTTATTAGCTCCACTGCAAATAATCTCTCAATACTTATTTAAATTAAATTTGAATTACAGTTTGTATTCTTTAACAAAGTACGAACTGCTCGTTGAAATGTTTACACATCAAGCTCATTTCCAACAGCACAAAGCAAGAATTCCCATGGCCACGAAACATGTGCAACATTAAAACACCACAAATATAACTGTAAAAAAATGACTGTTCAATCATGTTTTTCTGGTTGAGTCCTCATACGTAGATTTATACATATATATAAAACCCAATACAATTTGGGTTTCTAAAGCATCTAAATGTGACTGCATCTCAAGGTAATGAACAAAGGTCGGATATGATTATCCAGAGCATTTTCAAGACAATACAAATTTGTCTTTTATCATCTTTTCAGAGAGGAGGGGGGCTGCAAGGCATACAGAGAAAGGGAGTGATGGTATGGTAGGTGGAAAATAAAGATACATTTCAGAAAGGTTACAGAGGAGAAGAGGAAGAAGGTATTGGAGCCTGGACCTGAACAGGAGAGATGTCTCTGCAGCTCAGACAGTCAAGGAGAAGTAATTCCAGATAAATGGCAGCTGTGGAGAAGGAACAACCTTCCATAGAACAGAGTTGGACTAGAGGTCTTGGCATGACTTAGTTACAAGAGTGGAGAGGATGTGGCGGGTGGAGTAGAGCGAGATAATACGGAATAGGCGGGAGGAACGAGTCAGTGGAGGAACTTGGAAGATGAGGAGGATGAACGTTCAGCGGATCCATTACTGGATTAGGAGCCAATTGAGGGATTGGACTATTTGGGTGTGGTCTCATTTACTTGTGTGTGAGAAGTTGAGTCATATATGGTGTCAGTAATGCGTCTAACAGCCCACCTGTCGGGGTCTTTTTTGACAGCAATGATGCCGCGTCCTCGGCCTTTAACACGATTCAAGTTGTTCTTGGCTCGCACTCCGGCCTTCTCGGTGCGGCCAGTGGTGGCGTCTGGCTTTCCTTCAAAATCATCTGTTCATGACAGCCATGAATACACAATCGCTTGGAAAATTTGATTCAAAGACATGTCGATTGAATAATACTTATGCAAATTGAAAATAATTACAATATCTAATTTTGAAGAAAGAATAATTACTTTAAAAAAGCAATGAAAATTTAATAAGCAATGAATTATCTTTAGGGAACTGAAATAATTTAAGGATATACACAGTATAGACACAGCAAACAAAGCATGAATAATTGGGCAAGAGTACATCTTACAATAACTTATAATTAACAGATTATTTACAAATTACAAATGCATATACTGCCATACACTCAACTTTTTAAAGATATTCAAAATTAGTGACGGTAAATTCCAATTACAACCTAATCAACTGGAGAAATGCCAAATAGAATAATGCCAGTGGCCAGAGAGTTAATGGAATAAAAAAAAATGTAAAACCACATTTTTGAACAAGATATTCATATAAACATGGTATACACCTTAACTATGAAATATGTAACAATAAACCAAATTTACAAGAACGTTTATATTGTTTACACAATATGAATACATGTTTAAGTATACAAACCGTTGAGCTTGGTTGTCCTGCTGCCATCTGGCAATGGTTTTAGGTCCTTGTCTACAGCAACTCCACGAGAATATGTTGCTGTGGAAGGCATCTTGTTGGAAGATACACTGGAATAAAATGCATAAACATAAAGGGTCACGAACTATCTCCATCCTCTTAACATGACATCGGTAAAACAATTGCAATATTGAGAATAAAAAAAATTGCACGCGTGCATTACTGTGGTGTGTTCACATGACATTTTTTGTATCGATTAGCTCCAACAGCCACATCACAAATGCCACATAAAATGAAAAAAATCCAAAGGTCATAAAAAAGGCCTTTCAGCGATACTGATGACCACTACCAAAAGTTAAATGATGCAACGGCAATAAAGGGACCATTCATTAATGTGGAAATATAAAGCCAACAGTGCTGACCTGTTAGCCAGTTTGTGTGCTTGTGTTTTCTCCTGGCTTAGTGGCAGTTCGGTGGTGGCACCATGGTGCGTGGGTGAAGTAGGACCAACTTTTGCAGATCCACAACGCTTGACCCAAGCATTCTCCTTGGGTGGTGGAGCGGGCACCAACTGAGCGGCCGTCTGTGGTGTCGCCTGTGGCACTAACTGCGGCAGCTCTCTCTGCTGGCTTAATTGCTGCGGTTGCTGTTCTGGCTGGCGAGGGGATCGGGTGGCCGGTGATAGAGGTCCATCTTCCCGAGTAAATACCTCATTATCTCCAGGCACATCACTCTCTTTATAGACCCGTGGGCCTGCCACATCATACAAAATATATGTAAAACCATTTAATGCAAATGTCTATTTTGAATTCAGCATGACAGAGCCACTCACACTCAGGGAAAGCAAATCAAATTGTTGCTGAATCTGATATGACGTGAAACCCATGTCCTTTTTGTATTACAACACCCACAAAGTAGCTTGTTAAGCAGCTAGATAGACAATGGTCAAAATGTTTGCCATAAAACGTGATTGTATGAGGTAAAATAGGTTCTTGCAGCAGCCTCTAATGTTGAGGGGGAGAGGCAATGTGTAGTCTTTGAGCAGTGAAGCATGTGCGATAGCTTTAAGTGAACTCAACAATTAAAAAAAAATCACTTTGTTTCATTCTTGTATTCTGGTCTCCCATGCAAACGGAACAATACACGTCACTCAATTCGCACATGGTTAAATGTAATGGAAATCCATCACTGTGGTCATGTGAGAGGGCCACACCTACCCCTGGCAGATGCGCTGCTTGTGGCACTGGCTCCCCGAGATGAACGGCCAGTCTCCGAGGTGTCACTGGTGGGGCGCCGCTCCAAGTGATCGTCATCGCTGCGCCAGCTGGGATGTCTGCCGGGACAAGGCAGCATAGGCGAGACCGTACGTTCACAAGAATACCGTTATAGTAAGCAGTGCAAATACCCCGTTACTTATTTGGTTGCACATAAAAAATATATATACTAACTTTTTTTAAAATTTTCCAAGTGCTATAGGCTGCAAGAATGTTTGTACGTTTTTTTTACTATCCACTCTAAAAAAACTACAAATGAAATTCAAGGCACCATGTGGATATTGTCTTAAATTGCTGCACTGTTTATTGACACCATGGAGATGAAAGTATGACTTTTATTTCAAAAAAGGTCTATTCACAGATTTAAAAATAAACGTTTCAACATTTTTGGCCATCAGCTTTTGTGTGTTTTTCACGTGTGTGAAATACTTATCGTCAACGTAATGTACTCAATTTATATGTGAACACTATTCATTTTTGGATAAACATTTTTGTTGCATGTATACATTTTAGTGAATTAGGGTTCGATTATATTTTCTACTTTTAGCAGTTTATAAATTACGCATCATGCTTAGCAGAGCAATTTAATGTAGGAACGACAACTTTGTTTACTAAATTTCCGAATAAATCAATGTTTGTATTTCACAATTTAATAGTTGTGCAGACTTGCAGTGTATAATGACAGGCCCTCTGGCAAATATCCTGCTTTTTATAGCATTAGTAATAGCCATTAAATTAATCCATGATGCAAAGACACAGGAGTCCTTCACTATGTTGCATGGCAGAAAATAATCTGCCTTGCATATAAAAGCAACCTTATTACTGGGAATTGCATGTAACTTCCATTTACAGGATATATATCTTACATTATTTCACAGTACAGTATACAACTCATCTACAATAGCAATTTATCTAATACATTAATTAATGATACTATTTCTTTATTTATATCTTAATGAATTTTATAGCATGATAGAATACTAATCCAAAAAGGTTCATTCATAAAATTAATTAAAACATTTCAGGAAAAAACACTACATCTTATATCTTTCTGTACTTTATATGGTAGAGCACTACGAATACACAAGCACCATATAAACTTGTGTAGCAAGACTAGAACGTGAGCTCCCTATTCTGCGTGCCCAGAAGGAATTCCTGTGAAACTCAGTAAATGTACGTACAAGCCAATATTGAACCATAAACTTTCCCTCCATGCAATTCTTGCACTGCCTGAATGTTAAGAGCAACACACTGTCAAACAGTATTGTATGCTGACGATACACTAAAATTACAACTTTTATCAAATGTACATATATAATACCTTGATTATGAAAAACTATGAAAAACCAAACCTGGATACTCAGCAGCAATGGAAGCAGTGTGTGCAGCCAAGTCTTATCAGCAGTGGACACATGACACAAGTGAACATTTTATTCTGATCTTGATCGCCTGGATTACTAGCATTGTACTATAATACATACAGGTTCAATAATCGATGCTTTGGCAGACAGTAAATCCACTGCAGAATAACATTAAATAACTGAAAACAACAATATAAATGAGCACCCTCAAGATAAATTGTTGTGTAATTGGGCAAGAGTAACAATGAATAGTCGGCACATAAAGGCAACTAGGCTCTGATGTAACAACAGGAGATGGGCAGTCCACCACAAAGTTCTGTGTTAAACCCGGATGAGAGTTGAGAATATTGTGAAATAGTATGGAAAAAACTGCAAGAAAAACAGGGGGAAAGCTCTAGGAGCTAAATACAGGCAGACCTCGCTTAGCACTACCCCGGTAAAACGCCGATTCGTTTTCGCGCTCTTTGCCCTGAAGAAAATTATTGCAAAAAATTAAAATCCTAAAATATAAAAAGCACTTACGAGTGAGAACAGGCAGCGCTGGCCGAGGAAACGTACCTGGTGTTATATTTGTTTACATTCACTCAGCCAATGAGAGCGATGTACGCTCCGAACCGGAAACCACCCCAACCCCTACAATTCGATAATTATCAGGATTTGTGATCACAATCACAGCCCAAAAAAAAAATCAACGATTTTTTTTCAATGTTACTACAATATTTGTTTAGCCAGGTGAGAACTCATGAGACCAGGATGTAGTCTCAGGCTCCATCTAAAAGAATCCTCACCACGCATATTTTTGAATGAGGGCATCACTGAAATTACAGGTCTTGGAGCAATTCTCTGAGAATCATCAAGATTAGAAGCGCAGCAGCTCCCTCACCACTGCCTTGTAGGAGTAGAGTAGAATGCACTCGTGAGTACAATACATACTGACTGATTTTATAATACATTATATTTATTTGTAAAATGTTTACAATCTGCTCATACATAACAATGCTGTCATGAACACTCCCCATATATACAATGATGAGCCCTATTAGGGCTGATTCTATTAGCGCTCACTTCTCCAGCAACGCATCATGAGCACGAACCGAGGTCTGCCTGTATCTCTCCGATATGTTTAAATGTTGTACCGGGCGTTGTTCGGCATGATGTCCGATGTTTCGCTTCAGGAACTTCAGGAACCGAAAGGTTAGACCTCATGACGAACAACACGTGGCACAACTCAACAAGACATCAGAGAGCTATGCAACACAACCGCGAGGTACGTACTCGTACGAGGCAAATGTCCTCTTCATTTGTAATTCACGGGCATATACACAAAAAGAGAGAGCACTCGCCTCTAGTGTGCTAGGGGGGGTGGAGAAGCGCCTGGAAGTAGACGTGCACAACCCAACCCAGCACCCGGAGCTGCACGATGACAGCAGCATTGCAGATTGTGCCATCCTTCATGGGGGAACAGCCAAGCGGTACTCTCCGCTTAAATAAACAATAACCATCTCGCAACACTTTGCATAGGTAGGTAACAATGGCCACATGTTATGGCCAAATATTACCATTATTTTAAAACTGTATAATGATAAATTTTCCTATTTCACCTCTATTGAATTATCCTGCCCATGGGGCATTTACTTTATTGTTCCATTTAATGTTAAAAGCTTGAATGGCACAACCTCTGGACAAAAAAGGCAGCAGAACATGGCAATGGTGCATCAACAATGGAAGAAGTCCCTTAATATGGGAAGTAAGATGGCCCAAAATGTATTTTCCCAGACTACACGAATTTAGGATTTCATGTCATTTACATTAAATTTACATAATAATTTAGTTACGCCTCTCCAACTTTCCCAAAAATGAAAATTAGCAAGACAATAAAAATTATCAAAAACATTAACAAAACTATTGTCAAAAAAGTATCTATATTAATTGAGTCCAATTCCTCCAATGATGCATGCACACTGGGTTAGCAAAATAAAGTAACCTAGCCTTTTCCACACACATGTAAAAATAATGCAAAAACAACACTTCTTCTTTGGCAGCAGGCTACTTCCATGAAAGACAAGAATTGAAGATTTCTGCAAAGAAAAAATACTTTAAAGTTAATACAAAAGAAAATAAAAATAATAATTTGGTGCACAAAACAACGACACATTTCAGCATTTTGTACCACTTAAAATATAACATACCTGCAAATGTACTTAAATGGCTATGGATATAGCAGGCATATTATACATCACCTCTCCCTCTGGATCCACTCGGGTTTTCCGAGGCGCCCCTGTTCACTTAGGCGCCTTTCCATCTCCTCCTGTTCACGCTTGAGTCTTTCCTCCACCTCCCTCTCACGAGCCGCGGTGTCCACCGGCTTGGCACCACCAAAAATGAAGGCCAGTTTCTGAGTGGCAGGTGCAGGAGGTGGCGGCACGCCCTCCTCCTTGGGCGTACTCCGCGGCTTCAGGTTGAGCTTGGGCCGTTGTACAGGACCTGCCGAATAAAGGCGGCTGATAACGCCCTTACATGTTAAGTAGATTTATTTTGTTGCATTAAAAAGAGCGTGAATTACATAAAAAAGGTTTCCCGCTTTCAAGTCATCGGGCTGAAGAAAATATTGCCATATTTAATTTTTTAGGCATATTTTCATATTCAGTAGTTTTGCAATAAAATATTACAAAATTCACCTCTCTCCTCCCTGATATAATCGTCCCTCCGCCCGTAATCTCCTCTCCTTTCAAAGCGCTCCTCTCTTCTGTCACCATAGCGATCTCCTCGATAGTCATCATGTCGGTCATCATAACTCTCCCTTCGGAAACCAGATCCAAACGGCCGGCGTCCACTTCTGAAGTCTGAGCCTGCCAGATGGATTGGATCACTCTGCAGGTTTACAATGGTTCACTCTTCGCACAAATCGTAATGTGCAATTAATTAACAGGATATGCTTGAATTACTCTAAATGACATTTAAAAAATTACTAATATATTTTAATGATTGCATTCTTTTAAAAATGTTTGGGCATTTCAAGTATCACATAGTTCAACCTAAATTCGGCAGTGGCCAGTGATCAGCCATTTATTTTCATTGATTGAAACTTCACACTTGTCCAGGCCCAATTTACACTCATGATATACTGTAAAACAAAACACTTCTATTAAAATTATGTAAGAGATAATGGGGTTGTAATCCATATGAAATAAATGTTTGCCTTGGCTTTGACTCGCCGCCACTGCTGGCGGAAGGGTCTCCACTCGATTGTCCCCCGAGAGAGCCCCTCGTAAGGGCATTTGGCCTACACTTTTCCACTGGCCAGCTTTAAAAACAAATGCATTATCTTCATGCAATATGATCTACTACAAGAACCTACAAACTTTAGACCTTTCATGCATAATTATTATTTCTACATTCTAAAATTAAGCGACAAATACAAGTGCCATGTCAATAGAATAACTGACCCCGATCGCTGCTCCTCCTGTCATCATAACCACTGTCACGATCGTCATAACGGTCCTGGCTGTCCCGGTAATGATCCACATCTCGTCGCGGCCCAAATGAGCGCTCCCGATCTCTAAATCGCTCTCGATCTGGCTCATAACGATCTCGGCCCCCTGGAAAAAAACAAGACGTAAACATATTTCTGGAAATTAACACGTTGGTTGGACAAATACATTTGTCAATAATTTCAAACGCAAAGCTTCAGCCCGACAATTGCTTGTTCACGTTACTTCTGGTGGAATGGTCTCCACTATTAGACCCCCTCTAAACCAGGGGTCCCTAACCCCCGGGCCGTGGACCGTTACCGGTCTGTGGCCTGCTAGGAACCGGGCCGCACAGCAGGAGGTGAGCGGTGAGTCCGCGCGTGACCCACCCATTATTTTATTTATCACTTCCGTCCGCACCTCTTTCCCGCACTGTGCCCTTGTCTCAGTCACAGTTTTGGCAAGCCCACAAGCTAACAAAAACCCTAGCTAAAATGAGTCAAAAACAAAGGTCGCTGGAGAGCTTCTTTGAAAAGGGGGAAAGACCCAATGATGAACCCCCCCCCACCCGGGTCCGTGAAAAAATGTCTTCCACGAAACCGGTTCCTGGTGCCAAAAAGGTTTGGGGACTGGTGCTCTAGAGGGCATTCGGCCCAACTGCCAAAATGGCCAGACTTGTTGGGAGAGGTGGTAGTAGCAAAACCTTACGTCTACCTACTCAGCCTGCTAATCGACAAATTGTGGCGTAACCATTTATACTAATGTCTGGGATTTAAAAACCAGCGTCCTCTGAATTTAAATTCCAGCGTCCTAACCATTACACTGTGGAAGCATCCAAATTAATGTAAAATTACTGAAAAAGACTAAGGGTGTAAAAGTTTTTGGGTGCTACTTACAGCTCGACATTCGATCACGATCTCCATATTGGTCCCCGTTTCGGCGTGGGAAGTCATCGACGTTGTTGTTGTTACTGGATCGAGACCGCCAGTCATTATCTGTTTTGTCCTCACGGCTCCAGTCCCGGTCACGTGACAAACCTCCGCGGTCATCTCGGTCTATTCACACACGCGTGAAGAAAAACCACACATGGCAGCAGACACACCGATAGTTCCCAAGGACTTATCTATGAGCATTTCTGGGCTCATTGTGTAAATATTGTAAAAATAAAAAATGAAAGTTTACCTTGTGTTTGATCAGCTATATCTACTCTTACTCTTCTGTTCCGCAACATCTACAAATGCAGAAAACATGCAAGGAGTGATATACAAAATACTACCATACCAGTAATAACGCAATATTTAAGAAAATTTAAAATACTATGTCTGGATGTATCTTTAAAAATGTACCACATCCAAAATATATTGTAAATATTTTACTTGCAAAATGTTCACGACTAATATTAAACAAAGGTGCACCATCTTTAAAAGGATATCTGTAGGGTGCTTTTCAGAACAATAAAATAAAAAGTAATAAACTTCAACTTTTTCTACATGTTTGAAGTAATATGAATCCCTGCAGTCATAAAAGCTTTAAATCAAAATGTTTGAAGTTTGAAAAAATATTACTCACTTCATCATTAAGTGCCAGAGCCCTCATGAGAGACTCAATGTCATCAAATTCAGCATACCCAAAGCCCTTGAGTCGGTCAGAGTTGCTGGCTTCACGTGGCAAGCGTACAGCACTGACCTGAAACAGAGTTCTGTTAAAACTTTCCACATTTGGAATTTCCTTTCTAATGCATATAAAAAATACCCAGGGATTGCAGTGCTATATGCTTAGTGGGCAGCATTGGTACAGAGATATTAACACAACTACATGCATAACAGGTTACCTAGTGTGAGCGCTTGTGCTGTTGCTTCTTTAATGTATTAAAAATTGCATTGGGGGGAAAAACGAGTTATATTTTTTACTTGATAAGGACAAAGCATTTCCCAGTAATTGGAATAAAGATACCCCTGGTGGTTGTTTTCATATTTAAAGGCTACAATTTTAAAATATACATACTATATATATGCTTTCAGACAATAAATCCATCACTTATTTAAAGGTGCATCTTTATTTAGGTACAATCAAATGATATTTTCCTAAACAACTCATCACCAATTGTCATTTCCTCCAAGCTAAAGCTCCTGCTGAGCAAACAAATATTATTTTGAACACTCCTTCCTGAACACAAGCACTCTGTCAGAAAAAGAAAAACTTGGAACAAACCTTGAGTCCAGTGAAGAATTTGAAAATTGACTCCTCGGTCACATCATAGGGCAGGTTGCCCAGGAAAGCGGTGTAAGGTGGTTTGGCAGGCAGTCGTGCCATGTCCACACTGGGGGCACGGGCAGCACGTGGGGCAGTGGGCAGCAGTGCACGGTCCACTGAAGGCTTGTACACACCATCATCAGCAGGCCACGCCGTTGACACTGTAGTCCACGTATTAAGATTTCACATTACAACTATTCCAGACATTGAACTAAAAGTTATTTTTAAAAAAAATCCTGACACCGTTTATAGACATCATATGCCTCTACCTTGCTTCAATGTTTCAGTTTACCTCGGTGTCAATTTCAGACTTCTAAAATAAAGGTTGTGCACTCCTGCAAGCTCTTGCTCACGCCAATGCTGGCAGAAGGTCCTCCACTGGAGGGAGCTCTATAGGACATTTGGCCTCTTCTTCCAAACTGACCAGACCTTTTGGAAGAGTAGAATACCCACACTTTTACCCCAAAACATGTCACCTACCCATCGGCTGTGATGAGATGGAGGGGGGGGAATTTAAGAAACTCGTCCATTACTTCAACTGCCGTACTGAGAGCTCAAACCAGCAACCTCTGGATATGAAGTTAAGTATGCTATCCATTACCCCACAGCAGCATCTTTCCGATGCTTTACTTTATATGGTGTACAAGTTACATTTTAATATATTATACACCTAGTGTATATATACTAGATGTATTTTCACGACATTCACATAGGTCCGTTTCAAGTTGTAATGACACTGCAAGCAGTATTCCAACATTTGATATACTAGCTGAAAAAGCCAAAAGGGCCTTAAAACACTTTACATATCTGACATCCCTAAAATCACCTTCTCCTTCAAAATCTTCAGTTTCATCTGCCCAGTTGACTGGCCGAACTGGTGGCACAAATACACTTCCCGCAGTTGCATCTTCAGCCAGAAAGTCGTTCAGGCTGACGGTTTTACCCTTCTTGGGCTTCTTTTTCCCTGCAATAAAACATTAGAAATTAATCGTGTAAAAAAATCGCAAAGCAAAATGGGATGCCTCTTGGATGCAATGCACGCAAAATCCTTGGACAATTTCATCTGTGATTTGGCATAAAGCACGGGTGCAATTTTTACCCCTTATTTAACATGTATCCCACTTTCCTCACACGTGCAAAAGACTCATTAGTAACTCTGAAATCCATACCAATGCCATCCATCCCTTTCCACATAAGCCACTTCGTTGAGCTATCATTTGTGACCAGATCGCTTCTGAAAAAGAGCTGTATAGCTCAGTGGGTCTTACCCAGTAAAATTAAAGTCTAGTTAAGATAATTTGAGCGCTTTCTTTCCACATGCAAAATAATCAGAGAACTGCCCAACTATCAAGTGCAGGATGCTTCCAAAATATATAATTTTGGATGAGCAGCTTACTAGAAGTACGGTACTTTTAAAATTGTTCTATGTTTCCAGGCTGTTTGTCAGTATAAATTTCTCTCCACATGCTGGGAGCTTCTTCAGAAACTGAATTTCGTTCCATACTGCAAAAATTAGCATGTAGACGGCGCGTATATGGTTAACACTCAAGCAGTATTAACCAGGGCGGCTGTGGAATGGAACCACGAACCGCTGCAAATGCGCTAACGCTCGGCCACGCCCACGCCCGAACGAACAGCCATCACACGTTCAGATACACGTGCACGGTTAAAGTTGAGTTTTTGAGCGCTTAAATATTGCGTCTGTAGGGGAACTTCGGCGCTGTCGTCGACTCAACACGGTGGTCAATTTAATAACAAAAATGCCCTTACATGTTTACATTAACTTGTACGATGTGATTTAGATTTACAGCCTAGCTTAATAACAACAGTTCTCAACACGCTATATTAAAAAAAAGGGGTCAGCCATGAACAAGAGCAGGGAGAGAACGAATGGTTGTGAAAACGACCAAGTGTAAACATTTCACAATAATTTGCACAACCCATAACAGTAGCATCGACGGGGAAAGAGGCCCCCGTTTGCTATGCAGAAGCATCTAGAACACACACACACAACAAAAACCTTGCACCTCACATTTCCCCCACCCCACCCTCTGCAGCAAACAACACGACGCGCACACACAAGCACGGCTCCTATTTTAGACGCCTGCGTCAGCTACGCGTCTTCCAAGCGTCACGGGCCGACACCGAACGGAACCCTCTACGCCTGCGGGAAATCCCTCGCCGTGCACGGCAGGGCGACTAGGCGAGGTCGGTGGGTTCGGTTTTCGGGGATGTGACATCGTTAAGGTGTGCGTGCGTGCATGCATCGGCGACAAACGGGGCGTGAATGCAGACAGCGGGCGCGACGTCTCGTGTGCACGATACGGATTGGAACGACTCGGGGTTGGAAGAGAAGACGCAGAAGGAGGAGGAAGGAGAGAGCAGCTCCCCAGGATCGCCTCACCCAGAGCGGCCATAACAGCGAGGGTGGCGGGGGCGCGGCGAGACGTCACGTGACGGGCGGAGCGCGAGGACACGGAGACCCGGATGAGGGGCGTCACGTGACGCGCCACGGACGCGAGGGCGACACCCCAGTGACGTCACTTAGTGGGTGTCTCAACCGCGTGGGACGCTTCTGCTTTCGAACGATTGACGTCTAACTATAAAACTACTTACGAGGATATATTTTGCTCTTTCTGGCAATAAAACAGGTGTTAAGCATGTTCAAACACTCAAACAGAAACCTTTTGCAAGGAGTTAGACTGATGGCCTTAATCTAAGTTTTCTTGTTGTTTGACTTGCATCCCACTGGGATTTTTGCACACAGCGTTGGTGTACGGTGCTATTTCAGGAATATTTTGATTTTTTTTCCTGGATTTTCTGTTTGCACATGCACAAAGTCACTTTAAGATGTTTTCTTGTTCATGTTTTTGTTTTTTTGTTTGTTGCGGTTGCACCCGATTCAAGAGCCGAATGGCTCACAGGGCTATACCAAATAAATGAAACTATGAAACTATAAACTATGAATCATGTCTGCATTAAGCACGCGTACTTGTGGTGAACATGCAAAACAAAACCACGCTCTGATAATTGTCCATTGTCTTTTAAACTGATTGGTCCACACCACAGATAATATGGGAAAGGTCCCATATTATTAAACTACTTTTTATATGTTACCAGGTAAGGCCCACTGAGCTATTTATATATTTTTCAAAAGCGACTAAACCACAGATGATAGCTGAACGAAGTGGCTTATTACGTGGACATTTCTTTATAGCAGCATGTTGATTCTAAACGTGTAGGGGAGAAACCGGAGAAAAATCCACATCATCACGGGGAGAGAGACACGCAAACTCCACATATACAGCAGGCATCAGGGTCAGGATCGAACCCACGACCTCCTGCAGACCAGACGAGGTAGTTAACATCTCGCCACCGTGTCAATGCAGAGCAACAACTTCAATGTCACGTTCGGGTGGTCAAGCCAGATAACCGCGTCAGGAGCAGCGGAATGTATCGCTGTGACGTCTCATTCGTATTTGTGGATCGGGCATTGGGTCATGATATGTTTATAAGGTCTGTTCTGGGTGGCCACAGTCGCACACTGGAGAGGTTTTTTTTTCATTTGTGCATCAGGTGTCTGTATCTGCCTGTCATGATTTGTGCAGTGGATGCGGTTTAGGGTGGACCGTGAGCCCCGTGGAAGATAAAACCCAGGGATCTTTTCCGTTGGGTCTTTCACAAGGTGTCTCGTGAGATCTTTTGAACTCCATTCACCTCTCCAAGCTTCATTGGGGTTGAACGCGCATTGTTGTAGGTTAAGCGCATGGGTCCAAAAGCGACGTCGAGGGACGTTATTGAGGTCCTGATTAATGGGAATGCGACTTTTTATCGATTCGCAGATTTCCCGGAGGGTTGTAGCGTTGTGGCGGATGGGTGGAGGAGAGATGTGTGACAGCACCGGCAGCCACGGTGTTGGGGTCGACTTAAGAGTTCCAGTGATACACCGCACTGAAACCACTCGTCCACAAACTCAGCCACCCACTCATCGACCCACACACGCACTCAGTCCACTCATCTACCCAGTCAACCACACACTCAGGCACACACCCACTCAACCACCCAACAATCCACTCAGCCACTCAGACACCCATTCATCCACTGAACCACACACTCATCCACCTAGGCTGCAACAACAACCGCCGTTCGCCACTAAGTGACAGTGATGTCATCACGACGCTTGTGCCAGGCAAGGCGGATTTTCAGGCCACGTGAAGTGTCGAAGACTCGCTGATAGGAGATCACGGGACAGTCTCAGATGTTATGGGTTAACTGACTGAGATGACAACTTGCGCTCCCCGCTGTGCCACCTATCTGCGTTTTAGCCGTTCGGCGTTCCGCTCTTTGTTGTGAGCGTTAGCTCCTCTGCCTTCCGCTGTTGTTGGAGGGCGACTGCTTCATGTTGGAGGGCGACTGCCTCCAACTGCCTCCAACTGCCCAGTAGCATAATCCTTCACGAGCCTCCTCCATGGGGGTCGATCTTGACACTGTTGGAACCGGTCATCGATAAGTCCACTCGGCTCCACATCATGTGCGGCATTAACTCAAATCTTCTCTACCCCCCCCCGCATCCCCCTCCCCGCATCCCCCACCCGCGCGGGTCACGTGGTGGGCGTCTTATCCGCTGTAGGGAATGTGCGAGGGAGCGGCGCCCTATCCGTGTTGTCAAATCCGTGCCCTTCTTCCCCGCCTTGCTCGCGTCTTTACGCGTTCGTCAAGTACGACAACTTCCTTCCATCTTGGTGACAAGTTATCATCTCTCGCGTCGTCGTTGTTGTTGTTGTCTGTGGTAGTGTTTCGTAAGTGTGATGGGCGAGGGGGCGACGGTGGGTCCCGGTGTGATGATGTCTGCGGGGAGCCGTGGGGGTAGTTCGCGCGCTGCGATACCAACCCAGCCCCGAACCCCAACCCGGGTTCGACTCCGACTCGCGGCCAAACACGGTGACGAATTATCTTAGCCGGGCATGGGCCTTCCCCTAGGTCGACTCGGCCTCTTTACACGAGGCTCTGGTGCGGTGTGAAAGGGAAAAAAATCGCCTTTGGGGAGACAAAGGCGGCCGTGCGTGGTGACGGCCTGCCATAGGTGGCTCGCCAACAGCCGGTTAAGGCTTCACGGTGGGGGAGTATTGACGTGCCAGGAGCGTTCCCCATACACTTAACGTCAGTTCATAATAGAGGGGGTTTTTGTGGGGGTTTGTTCGCGTAAATGTGTGTCGTTAAAACCCGCCACCACCCGACACAGCCAACTAGTAAGGGTTTTCGCATAAACAGAACAGTTTTCGGCCACAACACCGTAATGTTGTGGCCTGACACGTTCTGTTTACGTGAAAACCCTTACTAGTTGGCTGTGTCGGGTTGTGGCGGGTTTTAACGACACATTTACTTGATCTAACCCCAAAAAAACCTTATGGATGATATTAGTCGCGTAAGCCTACGTGTTAAACTAAATGTTACCTAACACGTGCTCGAGAGCTCAGAGGTGTAACATTCAGGGTAGAAGTCAGATAAACTAGTTTTATGTAACCAGGCCCCGGCGGATTTTAACTTTTGACTGTGGTATTACAATTTATCACTATAGCGTGACATGTTTAAAGCCCACTGTTTAGTCGTGGTTGTGGCTGTATAATGGTGCCTCGCAGACAACTCCCCTCCCCTGTACGTCATGATTGCAGTCACTGTTGGTGAAAGACACGGAGTGTTTTCCATTTATGTGATGGATGGTTGGACTCGACTCTCGTCATAGCAATGTGGAATTTCCAGCACTGGTTCAGAAAATGTCATTGGAGCGAGGAGTGAGTGGCAACGTCGCTAAATTTGAATCGCGGCCAGGAGAATGGGGAAAGCCAATAAGACAACGTTTTGACAACATAAAGTAGTGGTCGCCTATAGCAAATGTTCTTGCTGTGGTTTTCACACCTGATGATGATTGCTTGTGTTGCAGTCGACACGTCGTGAGAATTGTATTGTTTTATATTTTATTGTTTCCCTCCTACGTGACTTTACCGAAAGAACCAAGAATAATCATCAACATGTAAAGCATAATTAAATTACAAACAGCATTGCACTGTAACATTTTCTAATTGTGCGTGCATGATGCTTACATATCATAAGATCATTAATGATAAGATGTATAATTTCTGCGTAATTGTACCAAGACAGCAGTGTTTCTTAATCATGGCATTATCTAACTTAATACATGCACTGAATTGTGTATGATTAATTATCATGTCTCGCAGGGAACATGATATGCTGTGGTTTTGTTTAACACTAACGACTTAATGACTCCAAAGAGTCATTAAGATTTCAAGTTAAAGCTAACATGAGCTTATCTCATGATAAACTGCTTCGAGTAACTTGAGCAATTTTTTCATGGTCATAATAGTTTTGACACGCAATTCACTATTTAGTGGCCGTACCTGTTAATGTAAACATTTACTTGAAGTGCACTTAATGGTGTATTAATATGCATTTTATCACAAACGAGATGAAAAAGAGCACAGTATTTATATATTGCCAAAGTTATAAACAGTGTCACCAGCCCATCCGAATCAAGTACAGTAGTCACACAGTCTGAAAGGGGGATTCATAAATGTTGATGTTTATAGTTATTGTATAAAACATATATGCATATACAGTGTGTAGCGCATACACAGTGGGTTCTGCTGCCCCCAGATACACCATTAAGTCACAACATAATTTGGGGATTACAGACCCATTTAAACATAAACTAGGTGGCAGATTGTGAATTCCCAAGGCATCATGATAGAGTAGTACAAGACGGTTTAAAGCAAATTGGTTGAAATCATGTTCTTTGGTTTCTTCCTAAATGGCTGTATAGTCTATTGGGCAGTGTGCTCACCACAATCAACTGTTCAATTCCTGCAACTGGCCAGTTAATTTCTCCTGGGGAATCACTAAAGCATGCCTTCAGCTTTAAAGTGCACATTTTAAAGGTTATGCGACAATGTTCAGGAGCAGGCTATTGTGTGCCTGTGTCATTGCACTAATCGCAATTGTTTATTTACCCAAAGCTAAATTATAAATAAATCCCTCCCCCCTGCATACATCAGAATATTTGATCGTTTTATACGTGCATTCATCTTCCCAGTCTAACTGCCAAACTTGTTAATTTTTAAATGACTTAATGGTTAAAGCTATACCTTGTAAAACAAAAGGAAAACTTCAATCCGTTTAATTAAATATATTTTGGTGACTTTTATGTAATCCACTACTAAGTTCTAACATTGTGATCAAAGCCATATCTCGAAAATGGAGATGATTAATTAATATACCCAGGTGTTTTAATAACAGGCTCTCAATGGCATTTATCATACATAATTTCACCAATTTTTTCTTTATGTTGTGTGTTTGCAGGAACCATTTGAGGTGGTTATAATAGTGGTTTTGTTCTGAAAACATGGAAAACCTGGGAAAATCCAGGAGTGTTGGTGAAAGCCAACTACAGAAGGTGATAAGGGACATGCAAGGTGAGTAGAGCCCACTGCCACTCCCGAGAGAAGTCTAGTCAGTAATTAACTGTCACAAACTTTTTTTACCTCGTGGGATATAAATGCTTAATGAGAAGAGTGGTTGTGTAATAATGCAATGTAAATTATAGCACAAAACTCCGGTTAATGGATGACAACATTGAATTTTGCCTGCAGAATCTGTGGAAGGTTTGTGCAAAGAATTTCAAGAACATGGAGAGCCCATAACGGATGACAGTGGCAACCTGCACACATTTTGTGCAAAATTGGAATACCTTTTACAGGTAGAGAAATCCCTACACATTAGAAAAACTGACCACATGTTTCCCTTATCGCCGTGTTTTTTTTTTATGATTACTAGTGTGTGAGGAACATTGCGCTGTGTGCATTGCCTGTGTCCTGTGTGCCCCGATAGTTTGACCAGAAGGAAAAGAACACACTGCTGGGCCACAGAAAGGACTACTGGGATTACTTTTCAGATTGCTTGGGAAGGCAAAAAGGCCACAATGATGGAATACGCTTTGTGAAGTCCATCTCTGAGGTAGGATCATTTACCCTTCAGAGTAAACAAATTGATGTCTCTTAAAGAAGAAGGGCTAGCCACAAACGCTTTACATATCTCCTTGTGATAGGCGATAACACACCGCGTCCCGTCTGTATTTCATGAATTCATAAATCGCTCACACAACCAAGTTTCCTTTTGGTAGTTGGGCAGAAAATTGGTTTAGAACTTTAGTTTTTCTCTCTTTCTTGCATCTCATGAAAAGGAGTATTTTGTATTACTGTTGGACTACATGAATTACTAGAGACTAATTAAGCTGCTTTATCATTTCTAAGCCACAGATAGTGCAGGCACAACTTTACAATTAATGCAAAAACTCCAAGGTCATTACATACAAATATCTCATTGGCTCTAACATTACCTCTACTTTATGGGAACTAATAGCCATTTTCGCTCAATTATTGTATACATTCTCTTTTCATGGATGTATAATCTGTCGATCGAAATTTACAATTGTTACCCCTTTTTATCACTTAACACAACCCTGGTCAATTTTAAGTTGCATGAATGCATGCATTAATATCAATTAGTCCAAAATGTATGAAGGTGTTTCACCGTTTTTACAAACGTGTCATAAAGTGTACTGGTTACAAATTCAGCTATCGCAGAGCACTGACGAATCTTCTTTGAGTGACCTTTGGGTGTTTTTTACCCCCCTCCTCACTGTAATAGCTAAAGACATCTCTGGGAAAAGGCAGGGCTTTCATCCGTTACTGTCTGGTGCACCGGCGCCTTGCCGACACCTTCCAACAGTGCCTCATAAACCACAAAACCACCAGGTACTGTGCAGCACTCCTCTCTCTCGACACCTCGCGTATAATGTGTCGGGTCCCATTATTACGAGTGTCATTTCCTTTGGCTGATGTATTTGTTGTGCCACATGCTACTATTCTTCTTCGGTGACACATGAGCCATTTGCGGAAGATTTACTGCACAGCCTGGGAAACCTCTTCGTGGTAAATGATGGGTGCTTTGCTGCTCCTCTAGCTGACTCTCAGCTCTCATGCTACAGCGCACGCACCGAGTAAAACCTATATCTCATGAAGTCCTTTCTATTTTTAAATCATCTGCGAAAGACACATTCATATATGCAGCAGCATTTCCATTTTCAAAGTAAACGCACTGCCACTAACAATCTGCTTGCCTTTTACAACGTAATGTTTACTTGGTAATTGAGAGCCCACCATATGTCCTTCTCATTTTCGAGCTTTTAAGTTAGATTTCTCTAGCCATGCTACAGTATGGCTCTTTCTCCACATAACCCTACTACTGGCTCTGCCTGTGTTTTTTTCTGTGCCGGCTCCTTGCAGTGCTGTATAAGCTTCAGCTCAACATCTGTCACCCTCCAAGCACAGCATGGATTTTTCTATCCGGCAGGATTACGGTGATACTGAGCTTTCATTCTCTATTTCCAGGGTTTTGACCCGTTGACAAATTTGTTTTTTTTTTCATTTCCATTATTTCCCCCCTCAAAAGAATGAGTGGTGCTTTAATGTGCATGCTTTACTGCACACAACTCAGAAAACTTTTTACGTTATGTTACTGCATTTTTTCTTTTTTTCACAGGAACCACCATTTTAGCTCGCAACAGATTACATTATGAATGTATTGATTTCTTGTTGGATATACTTAGTTTTTTTAATTAAACTCGAATAATTTCAGTATTTTTATATATATTCATTATAGGTGTGTCCATCACCTACCTGACTTAATTTTTACATCTGTCTGTTTCACTGTAAATCATGTAATTGAATTTACATTATTTTGTTTTTTCTTTGTATTTCATTTAACCTTTCTCTTTTTTTACATTAAAATCCCCACTAACTAAAACGAAATAAATTATCCTATTTGTTGAAAATTCTTTCTTTTCAGTGACTGGTACTATGTGCGAAGTCCATTTTTTAAAAAGGACCTGAACTCCTCCATCATTGAATCTCTCTATGAACTAAATGAAATCCACTTTGACCTTGCTCCCAGAGGGCATGACCTCGATGCTGATTGGCCAGTTTTTGCAAGGTAAGATGGACGTTATAAACATTTTGTAGAAGTATTTGGGAATAACGATGTTAATGATGTCACTTTAAAAATTTCAAATTTCTGTTGTTTGTGCATAAATACCTCTTTTGAATGTAATATTTTACGTGCATTATTTTTTTGCTTATTGGTGATGCTGGCTGTTCATGCACCGCCACCTTGCTGTGATGTTGTTCATTGATGTGAAACAGGAGGTCATTGGGCTTCTCGCCAACTCATAACTGGAAACCACCGAGTCGTAGCTCAAGCATGAACAGCCTAGCGAGCAACATTTCCCAGGTGAGTGGCACACAGTCTCCGTTGACAGCTTGACATTTGTGAAAAATGAAGCTAAAACAGAATGAGAAAAATGTTTGCTGCCAACCCGGCATGATGAATTTACACTTCATGCAAGATATGAACTTAACAGATGGTCTGTGATGCTTTTGTGTTCATCCACATGTAGGTTATGGACATATCAATAGGGCCGGAAATGATGGATTCAGAGTCTGAAGCACAATTGGAGAGCCTGAGGCTGGAGCTGGACCGCTCGGAGATGCGGAAGCGGGAGATGGAGGCACGGATCCAGCGCATGGAGACCGAAAGGCACCAGCAGATAGAAGCACAGGTTGCCATGACTGGAATCCAGAAACATGGGGAAGAGCTGCGGAGCACTGGGGAGGAGTTACGCAGTGCGAGGGCAGAACTTAACAAAGAGAGAGCAGAGCTTCAGACAGAGAGGGAGGAGCTCTGCAAAGAGAGAGAAGAGCTACGGAGGGAAAGAGAAGTGGTCAGGGGGGAGAGGGAACAGCAATGTGCTGACAAAGAGCAACTGAACAAAGAAAAAGAAGCATTACTCATAAGACAAGAGGAACTCAAGAGAGAGAATGAGGTCCTGGCACAGAGAGTGAGCATTTTGGAGTCGGAGATGAATAGCAATCAAACAGAGGGCACTCCGGATCCATCGGCTAAATGTAAGAATTTGTTGCAATGAATGCATACACTTTCCACCTTATGTGCCACTTCAATTTTATGTTCATTTTTTTTCAGACTTAATCTATGCTGTGTTAAATTATATTTTGGAATAATAATGAAGCAGCCTGGTTGTTACTAAACGTTATGTTATTTCAGTCAATACTACATGCTATAATATTTCTCCAGCAGATGTATCTTCTGCAGAACTCGTAGAAGAATATTTTAAAAAAGAACAAATTCTTCAAGAAAATATTTTTCACCTCGAGAATACCAACAAAAAGCACCTTGAGAGAGTCGCTGAGCTCTCGCGGAGCCTGCAGGAGAGCCACGATGCAGCGATACACACCACGGCTCAGCTGTCAGAGAGTCAGGCCAAGCTGCGCAGTATAGAGGAAGCGAATGATAGCCTGGCAAGCTGGCTTTCCACTGCCCTTGGTGATGACATGGATGGGAAAGCCCTGGATGCATCGCACCCCGAGAGCCTGCAGCAGAAAGTGGAGAGTATCCTGAAGCAACTGCAGAAAATCCGGCAGCGGGAAATGGACCTCAACAAAGTGGCCAAGGAGAATCAGACTTTGGTGAAGCAACTGAGTGAGCAGGTGAGTGAGAGAGAGTCGGTCCTGTTTGAATTGCAGACTCGTGCAGAAAAGGAGTACAAAAAACATCAGACTGAGATCTCCAGGCTGCACCAAGAGAAACTGGACATGGAAAGAAAGTGCAAGTATCAAGAAGAAGAGCGAGAGAAGGCCGTTTCACAGCTGGGAGAGCTTGGAACATTGAAAGAAATTGGTGAGAAAAATAATGTTGCTTTTGAAAATGACAAAAGACATTTGCTGGCTAAGGTAGATGAGCTTGAAGCAGATGTGCAAGTCATTAAAGAGAGAGAAAAATTTCTCAGAGATGAAACAGATAGACTGAGAGATCAAATAGAGCAACAAACATTAAAAATTACTATGATGGAGAAACGTAATCTTGAGGGGACTGAGACATTAAATAAGGAAAACCAAATTGTCAGAGAAAATGGTCTCAAGGTCAAAGAGAGGCTTGAAGCTGAGCTGCAAGCACTGAATGCTGTCCTCGCTGATAAGGAGGACGCTTTAGCGAATGCTGCGAGAGAGAGGGAAGTATTTTGCAGTTCTGCAGGGGAATTGGCTGCCGAAAAAAGTGCCCTAGCTGAACGAGTGCAGATTATGGAGCAGCAGGTGGTCACTGCTCAAGAAGAAACCATGGCACTGCAAAAGAAGATGGCAAAAGAAGTTCAGTCACTGGAAGACAGAGCGCGGGAACAAGCAGGAATAATGGCAGAGCGAGGAGACGCCATTAGCATCCTGAAGTCCAATTTGGCAACGCTTCAGGAGACGGAGAAACTGCTGCAAAGTCAAGTTGAAGATGCCAAGCTGTCCTTGGGAGAAAAAGAGCAAAAGCTCAGAGAGGAGAATAAAGATCTTAGTGAAAGACTGAAAGATGTACTGTGGCAGCACGAGGCCTTCATTGAAAATATCACTTCACTGCAACTGGAAAGAGTTGTCTTAAGTAAACAGTTGGTGGCCCAGGAAGAATCGTTTGCCACTCTGCAATTAAATGTGCAAAAAGCTGAGTCACTAAACAGCGAATATGAGAAACAACTCATGAATTTAAGAGAGGAGGAGGCCAAATATAAACTTCTTTTAGAGAATGTAAATGCAGCTTTACTGGAGAAGGAAAATGAACTTCAGACTGTTAACCGGGAATTTACCGTTGAAAAAAAGACACTGAACATGGAATTAGAGCAACAGAAGCAAGCTGTGAGTGCGCTGACTGAAGAAAATGAGGTGCTTACGAAGTGTTGTACAGAACTAAAAACTGTAAGCAGTAAAGAGGCAGAAGAATTAATGTGGAAGCTCGCCTCTTTGGAGGAGCAGCTTGAAGAGAAGCAAAGAGACTTCAGTGGCATTTTGGAGAAGATGACCTCTCTAGAAGGAGTCCCTGTCGATAATTCTACCAAACTGGACCTTGAGATAAAGTTGAGCAGTGCTGTAGAAGAACAAAGTCAGGCCATTGATCAAAAACTGGCTCACATGACAAGAAGCAATTTGCAATTGCAGGAACAGGTTAAAAGCCTTGAACGTGACAATAATATCTTAATCAAGGAGAAGAAAAAGGTGGAAGAACAATCACTTGCTCTAGAAGAAGCCATGAGCAAGCTTGCACAGCAAGTAGAATTACTTAATCAAGACAGTGCTGCAGTTAAAAGTATGCTGGAGAAGGCGAGAGCAAATGAGAAAGAGCTTGAAACCAAAGTCCAGACTTTGATAGCCGAAAAGGAAGAGCTGAAGGGAAGCCTTTCCACACAGTCATGTGAAGCAAGCGAGAGGTTGAGGTTGGCAGAGCAAGAGCGTTTCGCCCTGTGTCAAGAACGGCAGGAGCTGCACGGCAAGTGTGGGACCCTGGAGGCCGAGCTGAAGACGGTCACCGAGAGCCTTCAGCAAGCAAATGAGCATCTTCACTCTGCTCAAGAATCCTTACAACAGCATCAGCAGCAAGTGGACATTGCCAAGGCAGGTCTGGAAGATCATGAAGCCAGGCTGGAGGTGAGCAGCATGCGCTGAGTGTTTTTACGGAACCTGCAAGAGAAGAAGCATGTTTTTCTTCTTGTTGTTGCCTGCTGTGTTGTTACGATGGCATGCGTCTTAAAACTATTGAGCCATATGTAATAACTAATTTCAGCCATATGTAATAACTCATTTCAGCTTTTTGTTTTGTTTGTAATATTTTTTTAAATTAATATTAGTGTTAAATAATTGTGGTTGAGGCTTATGTGTTTTAAAAAGAATATTTCAAAAATATTGTGTGATTGGCAAGGCTTGTTTTTGTTGCAGTCTTACTCGAAGGAGGTGGAATCACTAAAGGCTCAACTCTCTGAGAAGGAGACACATATCACGTCCCTGGATAGTAGAGTTCAAGACCTTCTGGTATTGACCATAAATCCTCCTCACATTCGTTCGTGATATTTCTGACTAACCAAATTTGTCAAATACATCACCACACAACGTCTCATTGTATCCATAAACGTATAAGGTTTATCTTTCTGAATAATGTTTCTTTTTTCAAATTTCATCCCAAATGTGCTCTTGGGTCATGTCATAAGATGGTTCTTTTATTTAGAACTCTTACCAGTGCAGTGCATCAACCTGCATATTTGCGAATGGCCCATTTGAGCAGATTTCACGTAACTTCCTCTGAGTTCACTTCAAGTGATTTCTATTATATGTACACGAGATAGTACACTTTTACACATGCTGCACCACATAGAGAATGTTTGTTGCTTGGCAGTCGGATTTATTGTTAATTCTCAGAGCTGGAATTTAGCCGAGCTTTAATAACAGGTGGCTACTCGAATTCAAACCCAGGATCTCAGCCGTGCCATTTCATTGTTCTGACCCCTAAGCCACCCGGCCACCTCTTATAGTTTCACCATCACATTGTGCGACATTAATAACAGCCTCCATTCAGACTGAATGTGTTTGCGTCTCTATAACGTGCTCTATGTGTTCTAGTTCTGTCTTTATGAAGTACATGCAAAGCATTCCACCTTCCGTCACACTGCATTAGTGGTGGCACAGACAATTTACGCGATCTAACACAAAAAACATCTCATGGACAGACAATTCTCTAATGTAAAACCATTGTCTCTGCAATTGTTGACAGGCACAGCATGAGGAACTGAGAGTCCTGAACACACATCAAGCAGAGCAAGTAAAGCAGCAGCAGACAGCACTGGCAGAGAGAGAGAAGAAGTTGCAGGCTTTATCACAATCTCTAGAGAAGTACTGCAATCCATCACAGTTCATCCTATCCTGTAGCCTACCTGTATTTGTTGCTATTTTATAAATTCATGGTGATGTTTCTGAACATTTTAATCGAGAATTTAAGTAGAATAAAAGGCAACCTTCTAGTCAAGTCTCTTCTTGACAAATAGGTTAATGAAACATTAACTTTTTTTCGAATTCAGTCGTTTTCATCCAGAATAATAATTAAAATGTAAATTTCGATTTAAAGCTTTCGTGACTGCAGGGATTCATCTTCTTGGTTCTTTCGGTAAAGTCACGTAGAATGGAAATAAAATAATAAAAATATAAAATAATAAAATCAAATTCTCACGACGTTCGGCCACAACACAAGTAGCCTCCTTCAGGTGAAGGAACATAACTGTCGGGACGACAGCGCTTCAATGAACACTGCTAAGCTTGGCAGCGTCTTTTAAGCTTAGCATCAATATACGAAATGCCTCTGTTGATATGTAAACTCTGACTTTAACATAGCTACTTCCGTGACCAGTTACATGCTAATCCCTCACACCAACATCATGCTAATCTCCCAGTTACATGCTAATTTCTGACTTTAACACCCTGCTAATCCAACACATTAACACAGCTAGTTCAATGGTAAATTCTTCTGTTGATATGTAGACTCCTTTGTCAAGGCGCTCTGCTCCTCCCACCCAGCTTAAAAGACGCTGCGAATCTTAGCAGTGTTCACTGAAGCGCTGTCGTCCCGACAGTTCTGTTCCTTCACCTGAAGAAGGCTACTTGTGTTGTGGCCGAAACGTCGTGAGAATTTTATTTTATTATGTTTTATTTTAATTTTATTTCCATTCTACGTGACTTTACCGAAAGAACCAAGAAGATGAATTCAAATGTAATTACATTTCACTGTCTCAGTTTAATTATTTGTGTATGTTTTACTTCATTTTTGGCAGACAGTACACTGCAGAAAAATTGTTTTAGTAGGCTGATCAATAAAAAAATGATTAACATGTTAAATTACCTAATTTTCACACTGTGTCACTGAGAGATGGCCCTTACCTTGCACATGTTGATAAGCAATATGCGTGAGCTTTCTGGGAGTAGCGGTGCGTCTGGTGTGGTTCGCTGAATGATGGGAAGGAACCTTATCGAAGTGGCTCAGGGCTGACAGGCTCATTTGACCCACAGCATGATGAAGACGCAGAACTCCGAGCAAGAAGCCTGGCAAGAGAGATACGAGTCGCTGCGCTGTGAGCGGGAGCAGGTGGAGAGTGTGAGTATCAGCACCCTGCAGGACCAAAGGGCCCAGGCAGAGCAGAGGGAGCAGTCTCTGCAGGCAGAGGTGGTCACGCAGCAGGACACGGTGGCCCAACTCAAGGAGAAGCTGGTGGAACTACTCAGGTGGGGTGAGCTGCTGTGTCAGATATCTTACTGTTCATGTTTTTGCGCTAATACGCATTGATTCCGAGTGAGTAAAGAAAGTAATTTTAGGTATCCTTTACATGTTTAACACGTGATAGGCTTTCGCGGCCAATATCCATAATAGAGGTTTTTTGGTTGGGTCGCGTAAATATAAATGTCTTTAAAACCGCTACACAGCCAATTAGTAAGGTTTGTCATGTAAACAGACATGCCAATTGGTTACTTGTACAGCACACCGGTGTGTTGGAGAGTAAATGGTAACTGTTGTGGGTTAGTTCTCCAACACACCAGTGTGCTGAACTCGTAACGAATTGGCATGTTTTTGTTTCCATGACAAACCTTGCTAATTAGCTGTGCCGGTTGGTGGTGGGTTTAACAACATTTGTCTTCACGTGATCTAACCAAAACAACCTCTTGTGGATCTTTTCCATGTGTTTTTTTTAGTTTTTGCAACTCCCCCGTACGTTGAACTTAAATTCAGGTGCAAAGTTTGTTTTATCGTATCATGCAGGACATTGTTGAGGCTGTGCATCAAAGTGGGAACTGTTATCTACGAACGCTATATACTTAAAACTATGTAAAGGGAGGGCAACACTTATAATTGTTTCACGTAACGTAATGTGACATTGAAAAATAATTACTCAATGTCCTTTAGTAGAGGGCAGACTCAAAATGCGTACGCTTTTGATAGACTGATAACAGCAATGATTGCTGCGGACATAAATCACAGCGTTATTAACACCATGACTGTTTCGTTGTCCTTCAGGGACAAGGACACGCTGTGGAAGAAGACAGATCAGCTGGAGGCAGAGAAGCAGCAATACTTCTGGCAGCCAGACCATAACACCAAAAAGTGTACATCCTGCAAGATGGAATTCGGTATCTTGACCCGAAAACACCACTGCAGGTTTGTGTGCCTTCTGGACATCGGTGATGAATCCTTTATCGTTTTCAGTCACGGAATGTGTGCTATTGCATTGACGTTCGTGTTTGGCTTGGGTGAGTACTGTTTAGCTGCAAATGCCTGCTATGCAGTCGTGTTACGTATCCGACCTGGCTGTGGACTGAGCCACATAGCAGACACGTAGAAAGATCAGATATTTGAACATCTATAGAAAATAGCAGTTGCACTGTGCACATACTGCACTGGATGTGGGCAGTCAATTGGTCGGATGTGCAACGTACTATAATTCACTGCCACATGAGAAGCCAAGTTCCCTCCCACTGCGTGTTTATGCAAAGTGTTCATTGTTATCCCCCTCCTTACAAGCTGGGTATATTGAGAAAACACAATTTTAACAGTGCCTGACATGTGGCCAACAATATGTATTATGAATTAAAATCTTAACTGCATGCAGCAAGGCCCCAGGCTCACCGATGTTGCCGTAGAAAGTAAAGTTTAAGTGAACCCTGGGAAACATTCTTCAGTATTGCAGTTGCACATTTATGAACACCAGATGGCCACATTAAGCTGTCGTGTAGGCTTTTACCTCCTGGGTAAATGGTGCGTGCATTTCCAGGAGGCATCTGGACACCATTCCCACCAAAACTAACGAATGTAACTGATTTCAAATTAAAACATTGTCCCATCGCTTATTTTGCCAAGTTCTTATAACTGTCCTCAATCAAGAAACATATAAACTCTTATCTATTGCAACTTCAATAGTTAAGTTTGTTGCTGGCCATTTGGCACTTAGTATGGCTTTTTAGCCTGTATTCAGCCACCGTGATTTTTTTGGAGTGATACTTTATGTAAGTCTGCATTGCTCTTGTAAATGTCGCTTTAGTACTTGTGTGGCCCTGATACAGCTGCTAAAGCAGGAGAGGTACGCGTCCGTTTTCACTGCCCCCTGCCCTTACTCATCCAACAGGTCCTGTGGGCTCATATTCTGCTCCAACTGCTGCAGTAACTGGGTCGGAAAGAATCGCAACTGCCGGCCATGCTACGTCACTAATAGCAACCTATCTCCAACATCCAATGCGGATGGGCAGGCAAGGGCTGGTGATGGGCCACGGACCCCCAAATCAAGCTCACAGACATCAGGTAATTTTTTTATGAAGGGTGCACTTTGAACTATTTGATGGTACAACATATAATGTTTTATGAGCTTTGAATGTTTCATCAATTGTATAGAACTTTGAGGTGACCAATGCATATCGTCACTGCTCTTCTTGCACCTCATTATGTGTGACAGCTTGCCCTCATTTTAAAGCAACTCATATACTCTTGGCAAATAAGTGCAAGTCTGCAGTGCAATAAAAATACAGTTGTAGAGCATTGCAGGGTGTTTTACTTTTTTTTACAAAAAATTATCGTTCACTTTGTGCACATTTTTGCATCTTTTAAGCAATGTGTTTCATGTTTTTTTTACACTCTAGGTGTTTCCCAGTGTGACGAAACCTTTGAAGTCATCAATGCAAATATCTCTTCTGATGATCTCTCTTCCTAACACTTTACTCGGTTCTGCAAAAAAATGCTGCGAAGTATAATTATGACGGTTGGCACTGCCTTCACTACATTGTCGCAGTTTAGCAATACTAAAGAGGCTGTATGTAAATTCCATAATATAATTAATGATTTAATAGACCACTCAAGTGGAAGTGCATCACTGAAATGCAAGCACAGCCAGCACCTTTGTGTCGTATTTCTTAGCAGGTGACCCCCCTCCCCCACGGCGGAGGGGGGGGTATGGTTAAAACTCCCTCTCACTAAGGAGTCAATGTGTTTACAGTATTATGCACCTATTGACTGTGTTTGTTGTAAAGTTGTAAAATGCACATGACACTATAAAAGGAATATTGCACACATTTTACCAAGATGGTTGGTGCATATTTTTTTTCCATATATTTGCGTTTTTTTAATATGAAAAGCACCTTAACAGGATTCCATCAAGTGATATAAACACAGCTGTCAGACAATGATGCATATTTTGTCTTTGTTATAAACAAGTTGTACAAAAACACATGCATAAGTAATGTATTTCATGAAGCCATGTAAGGAATACTGCTTGTGAATTTGGATTTGAATTCTTGCATATTCTCAAAACATGTTAATGTTTGGACGAAAACCACAAACAAGAAATCTATTAGACCTGCCTCTTTGCATTGCTGTATTGTTATACTCACTAAAATTGTATTTCTCCAATGATTAAGGAAAGTAGGTTTTAAACTGTATTGTTTGTGACTTACCAGATGCTGGTAACGTTACACACATTGAATTTGCAATGTCTGTATTGTATATCTAAATATATAAAAGGGAAATTTGTGAATGTGTGTCTGTTCGAAATGTTTAGCATACTTCCCGACATGCAACAAACTTGAAATTTGGCATGTAGGTAGCTTCCAGACTGTACACAATGCAAAAAGTATAAAAATAGAATTTTGTATAATTTTTTGGGGGGGTGGCGCAATAATGCATATATTTTACACGCAAGTCAGCGGTGACGTCACATCTGTGATGTCACCCGCATGCGGCAGCGTTACGCAGTGTGCCTGCTGACGTCACACATCCCCCCCCCCCCAACCCTCCGTGTAGGCCGTTTATCCCGCACAAATGCGCGTCTGGGGGGGGGGAATAATGGATATAATATACTGTACTAGGCTACACACTTTCAATTTGCCACGTGGCTAGCTTCCATACTGTACACAATGTAAAAAGTATAAAAATATACGTGACGCAGTGTGCCTGCTGACGTCACGCATCCCCCCACCCTCCGCGTAGGCCGTCTTAATCCAAGACGAGAATCCAAGTCTCGGGCAAAGCCGGGATAGTAAAGCTATTTGGGTATAAATTATAAGTGCAGTAATGTGTGGTGGTCTCTTAGCTGAATGTAGAATATGCTTGGTGGAATACCAATATTTAGGAATACTTTTCTCTGATAAATCAAACTATGCAATGCATTACCATTGCAGTTTTTGGTCCATGTGATGCGGTTATCTGCTGTGGTGCTTTGCAAAAAAAACATGAAAAATACGCCCAGCTGCTCTTTAACGGCGTGAAAATGTATGATCGTGCGGTGTGGGTGAGAACAGGAAGAATCTTCCCTCTGAGTTGCTCGCTTTTTAATAGCAATTTGTGGTCAAGAATAAAGCAGTTTTTTTTAATCAATTATTTTAATCAACTTCATTCCATTTAATATGGGGATTCGTTAGTTGATGGGGATGCGCATACGCTGGGTACCAGCTGAGATCGCAGAACAATTGTGGTTATTTCTTTATAGGGTCAAAATATCGGATTCTTTAATTTCATTTAAATAAATGCGATTGAAGTGTTGCCACCTCGGGTGCAATATCCTGTCCAGGCCCATGGATTGAACTGCTTTGGTGGTATCTTGACTTTAAGCTTTCGTGACTGCAGGAATTCATATTCTTTGGGTCTTTCGGTAAAGTCACGTAGATGGTTCAAAGAAAATAACAAAAAACTTTGACGTTTCGATGGCAACACAAGCGTTCGTCATCGGGAAGAAAAAAGCTCTTTGTTATTTTCTTTGGGTATTTCGGTAAGGTGACATCGTACTTTTCTGTTATTTTCTTTGAACCTATTTACGTGATAATAGGTTTTTCCCCTTTTTTTCTAGCAACAAAACAGGTGTTAAGATGTTAAAACACCAAATTGAAACCTTTTACAAGGAATCGTGGCTGCATTAATCACAATGCTTGTGGTCCGAATGCAAACAAAAAACATACTCTGATAATATATGCGTTGTCCTTGAAACTGATTGGTCCACACCAGAGACAGCTTTCTTTTGAGCCTCGTCTCAAACGGTGTTAGACCAGAGGACGTCAAAAGGCGTACAGCCCAAAGACAATGCACTATTACAGTGAGGGAAAAAAGTATTTGATCCCCTGTTGATTTTGTACGTTTGCCCACTGACAAAGAAATTATTCTATAATTTTAATGGTAGGTTTATTTGAACAGTGAGAGACAGAAAAACAACAACAAAATCCAGAAAAACGCATGTCAAAAATGTTATAAATTGATGTGCATTTTAATGAGGGAAATAAGTATTTGACCCCTCTGCAAAACATGACTTAGTACTTGGTGGCAAAACCCTTGTTGGCAATCACAGAGGTCAGACGTTTCTTGTAGTTGGCCACCAGGTTTGCACACATCTCAGGAGGGATTTTGTCCCACTCCTCTTTGCAGATCTTCTCCAAGTCATTAAGGTTTCGAGGCTGACGTTTGGCAACTCGAACCTTCAGCTCCCTCCACAGATTTTCTATGGGATTAAGGTCTGGAGACTGGCTAGGCCACTCCAGGACCTTAATGTGCTTCTTCTTGAGCCACTCCTTTGTTGCCTTGGCCGTGTGTTTTGGGTCATTGTCATGCTGAAATACCCATCCACAGCCCAGTTTCAATGCCCTGGCTGAGGGAAGGAGGTTCTCACCCAAGATTTGACGGTACATGACTGAGTCCATCGTCCCTTTGATGCGGTGAAGTTGTCCTGTCCCCTTAACAGAAAAACACCCCCAAAGCATAATGTTTCCACCTCCATGTTTGACGGTGGGGATGGTGTTCTTGGGGTCATAGGCAGCATTCCTCCTCCTCCAAACACAGCGAGTTGAGTTGATGCCAAAGAGCTCCATTTTGGTCTCATCTGACCACAACACTTTCACCCAGTTGTCCTCTGAATCATTCAGATGTTCATTGGCAAACTTCAGACGGGCATGTATATGTGCTTTCTTGAGCAGGGCGACCTTGCGGGCGCTGCAGGATTTCAGTTCTTCAAGGCGTAGTATGTTACCAGTTGTTTTCTTGGTGACTATGGTCCCAGCTGCCTTTGAGATCATTGACAAGATCCTACCGTGTAGTTCTGGGCTGATTCCTCACCGTTCTCATGATCATTGCAACTCCACGAGGTGAGATCTTGCATGGAGCCCCAGGCCGTGGGAGATTGACAGTTCTTTTGTGTTTCTTCCATTTGCGAATAATCGCACCAACTGTGGTCACCTTCTCACCAAGCTGCTTGGCAATGGTATTGTAGCCCATTCCAGCCTTGTGTAGGTCTAAAATCTTGTCCCTGACATCCTTGGAGAGCTCTTTGGTCTTGGCCATGGTGGAGAGTTTGGAATCTGATTGATTGATTGTTTCTGTGGACAGGTGTCTTTTATCCAGGTAACAAGCTGAGATTAGGAGCACTCCCTTTAAGAGTGTGCTCCTAATCTCAGCTCGTTACCTGTGTAAAAGACACCTGGGAGCCAGAAATCGTTCTGATTGAGAGGGGGTCAAATACTTATTTCCCTCATTAAAATGCAAATCAATTTATAACATTTTTGACATGCGTTTTTCTGGATTTTGTTGTTATTCTGTCTCTCACTGTTCAAATAAACCTACCATTAAATTATAGACTGATCATTTCTTTGTCAGTGGGCAAACGTACAAAATCAGCAGAGGATCAAATACTTTTTTCCCTCACTGTAGGTTTTTCGCCTTTTTTCTGGCAACAAAACAGGAGTTAAGATGTTAAAACACCAAACTGAAACCTTTTACAAGGAATCATGTGTGCGTTTACCACACTGCTCGTGGTCAGAATGCAAACATCTTAACACCTGTTTTGTTGCCAGAAAAAAAACTATTTTCATATTTTGGTACTGGCAAAGGAGATCCCATGATCTATCTACGTGACTTTACCGAAAGACCCAAAGAATATGTATTGGTGGTGTTTGTTGTTTGACGCGATGTCCGTGGAGCCCTTTTCACAAGGCGGCATCGCAGTGGAGCAGTTTGCGTCGCACGGACCTTCACACTAGAGGCCGACCGAAATTCGGTTAATGAGGGAAGCGTGTGTAAAAATAATGAAGCAATCTATCACGACTTTACAATGTATTTTCACGTTCAAAGTGTCGTGCTATTTTGCCACTTTCCTTTCCACTGACCTAAAATCTAACCGGATAATTTTCAGCAGCACAATGTCAATGCTTTACAAGTCATCTCTGGGAATCTCAATAACTGCTGCCACATTCCCAAGTCACTACATGGAAGGGTCACTGTCCATGTGCCCTCGACATGTTAGTGTTTGGTTGACTGGGCTTTTGGGGTTATCGGTGCGTGGTTACAGCTAGAGCTGGGATACACAATTATTTAAGTAACCGATTACTCGACGGATGTATGTTTAATTGCGCGACTAATCGATTAACACAAACAGTTGTGGAATGGTCACATATCGTTTCATATGTTCGCATGTTGATGGGGCTTGATGACGCCATCGCCATCAGCTGTCAAACCTTGGGTATGGCTTGGAGGGGGTTTCCCACCTTCAGGAGCCAGCAGGATGTGAGTGACCGACCACAAACAATTAGTTGAAAATGTATGGTCCATGAGCAACTGGACGTCCCAGTGCTAGTTGCTCCGTGTCTTATGTGTGTAAGATCTAAGCACAGTCCGCTACAGCCTAAAGATATGTATGTCATCGCAGTGATTTTCTGCAACATGACTAAGGGACGTCGATAACGTGATGACCACAGCCGTAGTAAAAATAAACGATCTGTCGTTCGTGGTCATTGCGTTCACACAAGCATTTATTGCCATTTTCGCCCTTTGCATGTTTACACAACGAAATAAACATGACAGAAAACACGTGGCATACAAATGGCATTATTATTTACATTTGATTTGTATACATCATTTTACCCGTGGCACACGGCGGGAATGGGAATAGGGCCAAGGATATGAATAGGAAAAGAAAACGGAAAATGTAGAGAGCCGAGAAACAATGGGTGAAATACGAGTAAAGGGATGGAAAAGGACCAGAATACGGAACCCAAGGGTCAAGAAAGATGACAGAATAGGGAGGAAGAGGCTACACGTAAGGGCCTCGCGATAGACGATGTTGGCAGTCACTACAGAGGATGTCTGAGCAAGGGCAACGCAGAGATTGTGAGATGTCACCCGGGACAGGACAACATTGAGTTGTCCGTGGGTGAAGACCAGGGTTCGTAACCACACTCGAGCAGACTGGAATAGCGCCGGGCAGGAAGGGGAAGAGGGGGAGAAAAAATGACCGGGAATAAGAGAGGAGGGGAGAGAGAGAAGGTAAGGAGCGGCGTATGTTTTCACAGGAGGCGGGGAGAGCGGAGAGATTCAGAGTGGGAGTGGCCATACACAAGTGACGTGGTGTTCGGGAAACAGCTTATTTTACGCATCGATATACAGATAGGTTATGTGTTTTAAAAACGTGGAGAATGACGTATTGTCGTTTAGCATTTAATAGCCAAAGTATACACGTGAATGCCCTTCTGCACTGGGTTTCCAGTTCGCGTATTTTTAACTACTAAGTGCAATTTAAGCCAGCATAAAGTGGAGAAGATAGGACAAATAAAGTCATCTTAAATATATACATATATCACATTCAAGACAAGGACATTTACTAGGTGTATAACAACGCATATTTGAATTTACATAGAAGATTCAAGAAGATACATTCATGACATAATTCAGACTGTTCGAAAAATTCAGTGGGTTTGGTCAGGACAGGTCGCGAGAAGGAATGATGGCTAAGGGTCATGAATAATAACGGAGTGGCAGCCAGGGAATGGAACGCGTACGAGAGGGCGTCAACCAAAGAGATCGTGGGAAGTGGCGGAGGCTTCGGATTGACGATGGCTGATAATGTCAAAGATGCATCGAATTAACTCCAAAATATTCTTCCGCTCACAATACAGTGCATGCATTGAATTATTTGTAATAATCAAGGGTGGTGACGCGGCCGTGCGTTAACGCATTTGCCGCTTGTTGCAGAGGCTCACAGTTTTAATTCCTGCGGCCACCCTGAATTTACTGCGAGTGGAATTGCCATAATAATACTACGCGTCGCCTGCTTCACAGTGGACGTTAAAGATCCCTGACGTCATTGGCAAAAGAGTAGGCCATTGTGTACCGGGGCCAGGTTCCAAATTTGGCAAATGTAAAAACATTACCCGGAAATTACTCAATTGGGATGACACACAGCAGAAGCAGGAGCAATCAGACGAATGCCCCAGGCTACTCTTGCAAATTAGACTCATCCTGGTCTCTTTAAGTGCTCACCTGGTTAAACAAAATATAAATATGAATACTGTTCGGCTAATGAAACAAAATCGTGTGCAAGACAAACAAAAAAAACCCAAACAAACAGGACAGTAATACAATGTTGAATCCGGACTCTGAATCGTGACAATTCTGGATCGCTGGGTATGCGGAATGTGGATAATCATTACATATCTCGTACTGTATTTACACGTCCCTACATGGTTTCCTTTGACTGGACATGCATTTGGTATTCGATTGTGTCTGAGCTGAACAAAGTCTTTTAATCCTACACGTGGAGTACAAGAGAACCCCTTTAACCCAACATCCTAAATTACCCACAATTCCTATTATCCGCGGAAACCGTTCGGTCCTCCTGAAAAAAAAAACTCCATTTTATCCGTAACCATATTCTACCTCTATTCCACCAATATTTCCCGCAGACAATTGGAATAACCCTGCGAATAAACACGACCCGCGGTATTGACAGGCCACGTTATCGCAGATAAAAGAGATCGAGCTCTGGAACGTGTCCTCCCTCTTAATTGGACACCCCGCGATTGCGTCACGAAGCCAGTGAACGCGCGCGGGAGGCTCAAGCGGGAATGGTGCTCGTGGAGAAGTCCGAGTCGGAGCTGATGGGATGTGGCCTATTGCTGCTCTGCCTCTTGCCCTCGCGGTACGAGGCCACGGGCGTCCCGACGCATGCCTTGCAGCCCCGCAGCCGCGCCAGGTTCTCCTTGAACTTCTTGCCCACAAAGGCGTAGAGCACGGGAATGAAGCAGCAGTGGGAAAAGCCGACGCCCTCCGTGACGGCCACCGCCACTCCCAGGCGCTGCTCCATCTCGCAGTCGGAGTTCACCACCGCGTCCAGCCTCATCAGCGTGTCCAGCAGAGTGACCACGTTGTAGGGCAGCCAGCAGACGAAGAACGCTGCCACGATGGCGACCACCACCTTAAGCGCCTTGCGCTTCTCGTGGTTGTGCAGCTGGGACAGCGTCCTGATTACCATGACGTAGCAGAAGACGATCACGATGCCCGGGAGCGCGAAGGCGAGCACGTGGTGCAGAGCGCGCAGCGACGTGCGCCACAGCTCGGACGCGCTCTCGGGGTACACGTGCTCGCACAGCTGGTGGCCGCTCAGTGGCGCTATGTACACGTGGCTGAACACGAGATCGGGCACGGCGAGCAGCAGTGAGAGGGCCCACACCGCCCCACACGTCACCTACGGGGCAGCGGGGACGCACGAGTGATGATAGTTATTGATCAGGTGTCAGAGTGGGTATTATGAACTGCATTGCATTTGTGTGTGTGTGTGCAGGCCTCTATTAGAGACCTTGAAAAGGTTGACGTACATCACTGGACCCGCACACGGTTTTAAATTCTCAGTCTTTGGTATAGACCTCTGGCCATACCCTACAATATTTACAGGAGTTGAACGTGCGCACAAGCAACTCCGCTATGAGAGCCTCCATTGCAATAGACACCCATGCGTTCTTTACGGATGCGCGATCGCCTGGCCGTTACACAACACGATAATAGTGTTGTATATAAACCACTCCTGTCGTCAGTCCTGCCCAAAAAACTAAACCAACCTCTATAATGTTCTTGGTAATGTGCGGTTAATTCATGAACATAACTGCGTCTATCGCAATAACTAAGTTGGAGTGGTGGCGCAGTGGTTAGCGCATTGCACTATGAACACTCCACCACTTTGACGACCTCAGTAAGAGCAGGTAGTGGGATACTGTTAGTAAAGCTCTTGATGGTCCGCGTGTCTGGCGAAGGGAAGACAGTATCGGCGAGATGTGGTGACATCAACGGCCTCAGCCATGATGACACCATGGGGCCTCCTTTGCCAGTGTCAAAATATAAAAAACATGGTTTTCCCCTTTTTTCTGGCAACAACGCAGGTGTTAAGATGTTAAAACACCAAACTGAAACCTTTTTGCAAGGAATCATTTCTGCATTAACCACAGATACTCGTGGTGACAATACAAACAAAACACATGCTCTGACAGTATATGCATTGTCTTTGAATCTGATTGGTCCACACTGTTTGAGACTTGGCTCTAAAGAAAGCTGTCTCTGGTGTGCCTTATTACGCCGAGCAAGCCTAGCAGTGCTCATTAAAAAAAAGAAACCTCGAGTGAGTAATTAGGTCCCCGGCTTTGCCCACCTTGGTGGCGAACTTCCTGCGCACCTTGTCCGTCTTGGTGGCGCGCACGATGGCCAGGTAGCGCTCGATGCTGATGCAGGCGAGCAGGAGGATGCTGCTGGCCAGGTTCACGGTGAACGTGAAGTTGACGAGGCAGCACAGGACGTTGCCGAACACCCACTCGGTGGCCGAGCCCACCGCCCAGAAGGGCATGGTCAACACGAAGAGCAGGTCGGCGGCGGCGAGGTGCATCAGGTAGAGGTCGGACGAGGTGCGCTTCTTGGTGAAGCACGTGAGGATGACGAGGATGAGCCCGTTGCCCGCGAAGCCCAGGAGACACACGAGCCCATAGACGACGGGCAGAAAGACGCGGTGGAAGCTCTGGGATGGGGCGAGGCAGTCGGGGCTGTAGCAGCAGGGCGAGGAGGAGTTATCCTCCAGCTCGGACGTGTCGTTCAACCCCATGGGCAGGAGGTCGGCCTCGTCTAGCGAGATGGAGTGCATCAACTCCGCCTAACGGGGGAGGAGAGCAGGCATAGTGATACAAAAGGGGGGGGGGGGGGGGGGGGGGGGGGGGGGAATGGTCCAAATTAGCCGGATTTGAGAAGATACTCCAATATTGCTTACAATTACATGATTGGGGAAAGCCATGTAGCAGCATCGCTCCCTACCAGCAGCATAATTCCCATCTGTCGGCTGGTGCTGTGTGCAACCTTTTCCACACAGGGGAAGCGACCACTGGGTGTCTCCGTGGCTATGCACCACACTTGTAGTTTTTCGGACCTTATGCATGGATGTTGAACTTCTTTTCTTACCGTACGGGCATATTCACATCTTGACGAATGTTCATGTTCGCATGATCTTTTGCGGAAATGCACCGATCACCGGCAGTGGGGTAAATCGGCCAGGCGATGTAATCTTAGCCGTTTCGTCAAGTTTTTTTTATGTGGCCCATACTGTCTGGCACGTGGAACAAACGTGATATCCACTGGCATTTTTATTTATTCTCTTGCGCCACTGATGGGACTGGTAATCGTTATTTCGTTTTCCAAGGCGGTTTTGTGCTCTGGCCATTTTTTGTATTGAGATTTGTCTACATAAGATATATTTTAGTCATAATTTATTTTGCATTATATCGAGTAAGTTTAAGGATAATGTATGTTTTTCAACTATTATCCTCCACCACCCGACAGAGCCAAAGAAATCAAGTTTTCACGTGAGCAGACATGCCAATTAATCAACTTTTTCAACAAACCGGAGGAATGTTGAAAAGCAAGTCATGTATTTGACAATGTTACAGGACGTTTCGCTGAACATTACACTCAGCATCTAGGTGTTAACGAAGCTCAGCTTTTTCTTTTAAAAATTATGGCTCTGCTAAAAACCAAAACCATTAGCATATTTCCCCACGTGACAACTTGATTTGATCGCCTTTGTAGGGTGGTGGAAGGTTATAATTATTTTTAAAAAGCATTATACCTACATGATCTAACCTCAAAAACACTCATTATGAATCATATTGGTCGTAGAAACCTACGTATCTAAATCGATATATGATTTAAACTGGAAATAAAATTGTTTAAATTTAATAAATGCTTGTGTATAATCAAGCGTAACCTATACAAGGCACATGATGGACCACAACCGAAACCGCTAGGGTGTATCGTGCGTGCTGGATAGAGGTAGCGCACACATCTTACCCTCATACACAGTTTTAAAACACGCTGCTTTCTTTAATTGAAGAAAAAAAACCCAGCAGTGTCTCTTTTGCTGTGCGTGATATGCGAACAAATCAAACTTAGATTCATTGCTAAACATTGAGAACAATTGAATCATATATGCCGGCCGTCAAGGCAAAAACGTGTACAAAGCACAATCTGTTCCCCCCCCCCACCCCCCTTCAAATTAATTATCGGCTATGTAGTGTAGCAGGCAGCGTCAGGCAGCGTAAAGCCCCAGTGTGATCTGGGAGCAGGCGGCCTCGCACTTTCAATGACTCGAGTTCAAATTGCTGCTAGTTATGACATATCATGTCACCGTGTACTCATCATCATCATTATCCGTACAGGATCGGTAAAATAAGAACCGCCTTCGAATGCGGGACTATTTGCTTTAAATTCAGCAGTGGTTAACAGATTTGTCCACGCCATAACACTGTTGAATTTCCTCTGCACCAACTCGGGAGCAATTACACGAATATTCTTTTGTCCAGTACCCACTAGCCCTCGAGGCAGCTGAAAGTTACTAATGCAATTTAAACCGTAATGCTTACCATGTCAGCAACCGTTGTATTTGCGAGCTTCCAGAGCTGCTGTCTCGCAGCTCGCAGTCATATAGGATGTAACGGACGGCTCGTGACACTGCGGTGTCTTTCTCGTCGCTTTCGCCCGTCAGTCAGTCTGTCCGTCCGCCTCTTAGTCTGCAGTCTTTAGTTTACCATCTGCGATGTAATATCTCATGGATAGCATCTGTATATCTGCCTGCCTGCCTGCCAATCAGTGAGTCAGTGTGGTCTGTCTGCCCGCTTATGTCCAGCCGAGGAGTCAAGTCAGTGCGCGTCCGCCTCTGTCCGTCTCTCTCTCTCTGATTTAAGAAGGGGAAGCTGCTCCATTTGTAGCCCGCGCTCCCCTCCCGTTTTGGGGCGCGCTCGTGTTTACGGAATCCGAGGGGTGGTGTGTGCCGCACTGATACCACGACCGCAACTCGACCGCCTCGCAACTCCTTTTGTTTACCCAAGCCGCGGCCACCAAATAAAAACAAATTAAACATCGAACAGACCGTTCCCCCCGGCAGCGGCGCCGAAGAGTATCTATCTGGTGGTCGCGACTGTCACGGATCTTATCAAATCAAAATTCCCTTTATGATGACAGAACACGCATTTGGGCAATCCGTATTCCCACTCTTAAACCTTGCAAGTGATAGTTATGCGTAACCTCTAGGCCTGAGTTGTGTCGTGGCCCCGTCTAAGTAAGGCATTTTCACATTCTCCACAATGGCGCTAAAAGTATGTGTGTTGTGTATTTCATTGCCTTGCGTCGAACTTGCCGATAAACATCAACATCGGGAAGTTTTTTTTGCCGGCATTGTCTTAAGCGGGCCCGAATCTGCTGATGAGACACTTGATGTCGAAACCGGTCCAGTGTTTAGGTTGCTTGTGTGAAAACAAATGATGTGGAGAGACATATGGGAAGGAGGCGTTATTTATTTTGCTATGAAGAAGGGTCATTGCTCAAAACGTCGCCTCTTACTCCCCCCCCGTTAAGGCCCCGTGTCACTGGCGAATGTGTTGATAATTATTCGTGCCATTGCACCGCTGCCAAAGCGGTACCACAACAGACGGTGTGTTTTAAAGTACGAATTAATGATTGAATGTAATCACTTGTCTTCTATGTAGACCTCAGCACCCCTTTCGTGTAATCCGTACACCTGCAATGCGTTTAATTAATTTTACAGATTTTATTGAATCCACTGCTGTATGAAGGCCTTCCCATGCCATGTCGATCGGCCCCTGTTGTGAAGGGGCCAATTGTAGCTTCTTGGGATGTGTTTGTTGGTGTATTGAAATAACAAAAAATGCAACACATTTCAATAATACGGTGTGTGGCCAAAAATGAGTATATATATAATAGGTGACGCTTAGGGCAAATGGTCCTTCTTCATAGCTCATTAAAAAAATAATGTTCTATTATGATGCTTTATGCATTTACATGATTGTTATTGTCATTATCTTTCATGTGTGGGCTATGCAAGAGTCATAAAGACATGGATTATGCTGGTCAGCTATGCTCATTGAAGCTTCACGGAGGAGGATATGATTCCAGGGCTTAATTTCTGCGAGTAGACTGCCATGGAGTAGGGATTATCAGCGAAAATCATCCTATCACTTGAGTACAGGGTACGTCTATCCATAGTCATCCCATCTACAACGTTGTCGCCTATATTCTTATAAAAAAACAAGTAAGGTGATATGGATGTGGCGTGCTCAAATCATTCCCTCAACGGCGTTTCGGATTGTTCTAGCTGATATTGAGAACTAGCGTTTCTAAGTAAAGGAAAATGTACTCCTATGGTGGAGTTGTGGCAAACACTTTCCTGGTATTGCTGAATCGACCCGCTATGGAATGTTCGTTTAAGTACAATATCCGTGGTTTCAGCCGTTAGCCCGAGATGGAAATTGAACAGGTGACAGTTATGAACTTTTACTGGGGTCACACTCTGCCCACGTGTTCACCCTTCGTGACCCTGTAAAGTAGAAATTAGTCAAACAAAAAATCCCTTTCGCGCTTTGTTTGGGCCAATAGTTTTTACTTATTTAGAATTTAAATGTTAAATACATTTCCCACGTCATAAGTGGTGGAGGTGTTTGTGCAATTGTAACTTGGTTGAGGTTATCGACTAAGCATGTGAATTCAGTCTAATCACGGCTTGGATGACACTCAGGATGCCAAAAGTTGTGCCAGCTCAGTGCTCTAAGCCACGGAGCCCACCTGGCCATTTTCTTTGAGCACATTTTATTTATTTTCTTCTAGTTGTACGTTCAAGCCATCGGTCACAGTTTCAACATTACAATTTCACACGTGGCGATGATGATAATGGGTACCTTTATTTATGCGGTTCACGTTTAGATTTTCCCCTTAAACGCGGAGCTGTTATCTACAAGCGCCGCTGTTTCCTCCCAAAATGATAACACTCCCTAAAATGGAACTGGCCAAACATTCTGATGCATGACCTTTCTAAAAGAGCCTTGAAACTTATTGAGACTTTCCTGTATACATTGCATTGATGTGTGTCCACCTGCACTGGTAGACAATGGCAGGGTTTGAATGTACTTAGTCACTCTAAACGAACGCATTGTGCTGTGATTCCAGTGAGTGTGATTCCCGGCCGTGACTCACATTATTAGCGACGAGTGATGTCTTAACTGGTCTTGGACAACCCCTCTTGAGCAGCCTACACTAGCCAGCGTGATAAAGTATGGTCAAACAACCCCCATGACCAAACGTTATTTGGGGAAGCGTTCATCCAGCACCGGATTGATGAAGGGCTGTACGATACATTCATCTCAAAGGGACCTCCATCTGATAAGCTCCGTTGACCCCTCCATTCAGAGACAGCATTTTCAGTGCACTAACCACTGCGCCACCGCTCCCCACAAGCTGGCTTACAAAAATAAAATATCTCCCGTAATAGCCTTGGCAGACTATCGGGGCAAGTGCTGTTAGCAAGCACCTATGAAGGCCGACACGGCACACGAGGAAGTGGATGGCCAGCACCACGCCCGGCCGCCGCTGTCTCCTTAGTGTGCATGTTTACACACCGCTCTAGGTACTCATTTGAGGCTGAGTTAACCTAGGGGAGGCCCAGGACGAGTTCAAATAATCGCCACCGGTGTTGGCCGTGAACTGGATCGACCTCGGGTGCCAGGGTTCATAGCGCAGCGCGCTCACCGCTACGCCACCGCTCCCCACACCCACACCCACATAAACACACACAACGTAAACATAAGTACATATGCAACCACATAAACACATAACCACATAAACGCACACACCCGCGCGTGGGTGCGCACTTGCACATGGTGTTCAACCGCAGTCCCGCTGCACGCATGTGCGTCAAACGTTGATGGCTATCTCGGTCTGGGCGTCAACTCGTTGCGCCGTTACGTAACATCGCCTCGCGTGTTTATTTTCGTTAGAGCATCTGCTGATTGTCCTCGCCGTGCCGTCGCGTGTCTGGCTTCCAGATGATGATGATGGGGGCGAGGGGCGAGGTTGCGTGCGCGGGATCACGAGGGGGTTTTCAGACGCGCACGCTCGCTCGTAGCAGCGGGGAACGCGAACTCGGCGCTCGGCGAAGCGGGGCTGCCCGGCGAGACAGGCGACCTGTCGTGGCCTGTGCTGCTGTGCGTTGAACTTCTTTCGCACGGCACGCAGCCAACCGTGCTCATCGGACCTGGGGATCAAGCGAGTGGCGAGCACTCGGCCAAGCACATGCTCGGATCTTCAAGTTGGCCTCTGATTTGGTGGATCAAATATCAGCTCAAATTCAGAATGATTGTGATTCGAATGAACGTATTCAGTTAATCTACGTAAAATGCCAATTCACCTGTCATCTCTATGACGTGTGGCTCCATCTTCTCTCATTTCACCGCATCTCTATTATTTTCTACAGTTATCTTATCTCGCTACATCTGTATCTCTTGGTTACGTCTCTTCTGTCACCTCACTCGGATTGTATTTTTTGTTATATTGAAAAAAAAGGACAGGTCTCAAAACTAATTGATGCTCAGGGCCCCCAATGAGCAAGCACCATGCACGACATCGATGGCATCTGACAAATTTCTGGCCGTCCTCTATGTCAACTCAGCATTAAATTAGTATCTGTAAATACGTGGGAGTTAGCAATGTAAGTCAACAGCGATCGAGTGTGGTGTGGACCGCACAACCCTAACACCACCACCACCTCGTTTGCCAGTCTAGCCTTAATAGGTGTCCGCTGACAACACCTGATATCAATGCGGTAATCATAACTACACATTTTTGTTTACACGCACATATTCCGCGAATAGGACAAATTGTTCGATCGACAACTCTGCGGTCCACATCCGCTTTCCGCGCCTTTAAATGAGATGCGTGCCTGGGCTGTCGCGTGAGCCACGATCACCTACGAGACGAAACGTTGCCGAATTGTCTTGAGCCACAGCTCGCCGCTGTGGAAGACGCGCGACGCCGACGTCGACCGAGCAAAACGACAGCGTGTGGACGTCGTGTTTTGGTTCACGTGATGTTTATTCACTCCACAGCAAAGCAGCAGCAAGGATCGCTCACCCAAGTGCGTAGTCTACGGACGAGGCTGCGTAGGAATAATCAGACGCCATGCGTTAGGCCGGAGGAATGCACGCCCTCACGTCAGCATTGCCCGGAGGGGAGAGGAGGAGGAGGGGGGGTATTAACTTGAAGCAACCAATGACATTTGCAGCCAAAACCTATGCGGGTACAGAGAGCAGACAGAGAACTTGTCACGATAGCCAGGCCAAAGTTCCTCAAACAAAGTTCCTCAAACGTAAGCTCCAAAACCACGAGCCTTTGCATGTTAACTTTTCTTCTCCCGGTAAAACACAAATTACCGTGCGCTGCACGCGCCTGATAGTTGTTAAACACGTCCCCCGAGGCGTAGAGAGCGCTGCATTACTGTGCATGACGATCTCCGTCTACATGTTAATCAGAGCTCTCTCCATCGCGTGGGACATTATTAGAAATCATCAGGCACGTTGCAGCATGTAAACAACTCGTCGTGAACGTGGATGAGCTCTCCGAGGTCGGGTGCGCGGAGCGGAGCTTGAGAAACCCTGGGCTGGAGGTGACGAATCGAGATGGTGTTACATTTTACGTTTCATCCTTTTCTCTTGGGCGTCGCTTTCCTGAACAAAAAAAGGGCAGCACACAATCCACATTATTTCCGAAAATGTACAGGGACTTAAATTTTGAGAGAAAAAAAATCAAATGTACGTCTTCTTCCCGTTTCACAAACGTCAGGGTGATGTTTGGTCTTTTTTTGTGTGACTGGTAGGTTTATAAAGTTCTGCTTGCTTGCCGGCGATTTCGTTCGGCTGCGACCTCTGTCCCTTTCACTTCCTCTGCGGCAAACGCAGCACCCTCACCACTTTCTCTTTTGTTGTTTGTGTTGCGCATCTCATAATTCTCTTCCATTTGCACAGAATAGATTAATCCCGGTCCATTGGGAGTTCCCGCAGATCTCGCAGAACACTGCATCAACCCACGTTAGAGAACGGCCCTCGGAAGGTGATATCGGAGAACTGCTTTTGAGATCTTGTATCCGCACACTACGAACACTGCACTTTCCCGCATGCACGCTACAGAATAAAAATGCTGTGCAGTCTTTGCTGATGAAGCTGAGACCATCACCTCGGGACCGTCAAGAGCTGGTTTAATCATGGATAGCTGAGCCCGTGTTCGATCCCAGATTCTCAGCAGTGCTGGCTCAGTGCTCTAACCCCCTGAGCCACCCGGCCACCTCTCTCTGTTGTATGGTGAAGTATGGTCAAACAACCCCATCGACCGACACAGCGTGGGGAGACCTTTATCCAGCAGTATATATTACACATGTAGACGAGTGAGTAAATGGCTGATGTAAAATGTAATGTCCACAGAAATACATGGAGTGGCTTACCTGTTTTCAAGGCCCCTTGAGCTCTTAGATTTTGATGTCGGTAGCGCTGCTGGCCACGAAGCTGGCTGACTTGCTACTCGCTGTTCCAACGACACAAGTTGACATGCATGGCTTTAAGTTATGTCTTTAAATCTCAGATTGTGCAAACATCAAGCCCTGAGCCACAACAATTCTCACTCACTCTCCCTGAGCCACATGCCACCCCGCTCTCTCTCACTCACCCTGAGCGACAGGCCCTCTCTCACTCACCCACTCTCCCTGAGCCACAGGTCCTCTCTCTCACACGCTCACCTGACATTGACATCTGGGTGGAGGAGGCAGAGCGCGAGCTGCTGCTCCCTGCCGACACCACGTGCACCCCGCCGCCGCCCAGCGACAGCGAACTCAGCTTTACGGCAGACAGGCTGTCAGACAAGGACATTGCATAGGCTGTCAGGAAAGTATATGACGTTTTGGCTGTCTGGCCTCTTTGCACAGAGGTTTACAGCAAGCGTAACACTTCTGCGATGGCGAGCGTTGTAACACCGTGCCGCGCAGTGAGTGTGATCATAGTGCCGCCCCCTCCCCCCCCCCCCCCTCTCTATTGTGAGAAGTGCTTCCACGCTGCACCTGGCCGCCTCGCCCTCCAGCAGATTCCTGTAGGTGGAGATCTCAGCGTCCAGCTGAAGCTTGACGTCCAGCAGGCTCTGATAAGCCAACAGCTGCCTCTGCAGGTCCATTCGAGCGGTCTCGATGGCCACCTCCAAGCTGGCCACCGAGGACTGGTAGCTGGCCACCTCGGAGCTGGCTCGTGCCTCGTAGGAAGCCACGGCCTGCTCCATGGAGTAGCTCTGTCAGACCGACAGTGAATTTGTTCACGTGTTAGTTCGTTCATCTATTGGTTCATTCGTTCGAGTGAGGAGAAAAAGAGGCCGCACTTGAGGGAACACCACGATGATATCGATGCACCATAAAAAAGGGCAACGTGAGTCCCCCGTCCCGTCAGCTCGTTAGCGAGGATTGAGCTGAACGGAGGTTCTCTTTCTCTCGCCAGCGACATTGCCTCCTTCAGTCTCGATCCATTCTCCTCTTGATCTTTACCATTGTGTCTATTAAATCTCAATTGGTGTTCTACACCGCCATTGTATTTGTTCTCGTTTTACTCGGCATCACAGCTCACATTTGCTCGTGTAGTGTTTTTTTGGACCGTTTTAATCAACGACCAGGGCCTACATTAAATATCGACGAAGGCGAGTGGGTGACCGATGTAAATGTTAATCAGAATCTTTATATATCCTGGAAGAATCCAGAATGATTGGAAGGTGAATATTGGCACACATATAATCGAGTACATTATTTAATTTGTGCCCCCAGTAAAAAAAATGCCATAAAATTGTGGGACATTGAATGAAATGTTAACCTTTAACCAAGACTTATGAAAAGTTTTACCTGTTCATTTTGTAGAGCAGTGATTCCAAATAAGCCGTCAGTTTGGCGATACTGTAACTCGATTTTTTTCTAGTATATTAGGAAGCATGTGACACTGAGGCTGATAGGAAGTGGACAAAAGCCACTGACGTTTACCGGTACACATGTATATAAACATACAAACGGCGGTGAAAATGTTTGGTGGAAAGGATTTATGTGTTGGTAGGCACCGCTTTCCCAGCAGTTTTTTGCAGAAAAAAATCCACACTGGTGGAGGACAAAAAGGCAACGTGTCCACGATACGCCACTTAAATTAACGTGGAGCGTACGCAAAGCTGAGAACCGCGTGGGCGGTGTGCTGGAGACGAGCACCTGGGACAGGAGTGTCTGTAGCTCCGAGTAGTGCATCTGGATATCCTTGGTCACCGACACAATCTCTGTCTTCGCGAAGTTGATGGCCTCCGTGGTCTTCGAGGTCACGGCCTGGATCTCTTCTATCTGCAAATGCGCGCAGAGGGGAACGGTTAAAACCGTGAGAGCCGAGGCCCACTCGGGGGCCGTGATGGGCATCAGTGCGCGGCAGCGAGTTGGCCCTGGTCTCTGAATCGGTATCGGTCACTTTGAGATTCTGCAGAAATGCAAAATTATATTGTGTTGTGTCGAGCGTTAAATTTAAATATTCACGTAAAAACGAGTATACTGAAAAAACAGCATTGTGAATGAATAAATATATCACTCATGCATGAAAATATTTGTTATTTATTCTTAAGACTTTGTTCAGCACGTTGATGTTTTCGATAACCTGTCGGTTAGAATACGCGACGCGTTCGTGTATATCGTATTTTTGTGCACGTTATTTGCTTTCATAACTCCGTGCCGCTCTTGTGACGACAGCTTTAATAAAACAAGTACATTACGAGTTAGGTTTAGAGATAATCCAAATGATACCACCTCGTTGAAATGGAGCGGTAGTGCAGCAGTTCAGCACACCGCGCTACTAAATTTGGCCACCTCAGTTAGATTCCCAGCCATGGCAACATTCATGGCGGGCGATATTTGAACCGGTTTTGGGGGCCACCACGCTTCATCAACACACACTGAAGTATGGCCATCATTTCTGTTTATACCGCGAAGCCTCCCGTGCAGTGCATCTCGAGGCGCCAGAACATAAGTGGCGTTTCAGATTATAACTCGATAAGGAAGTAATTGCAGACCGCATACGAGAGTTCAAGCATTAGCATGGTTGACTATGCACGGTACATACAAGATGGTAGAGACAATATACACAGCGGAGAAGAAATATAAAATATTACAAAGTTAAATTATGTTTAAGACTACGCTTTTATAAATATATAATAACAACCTCCACAGCGTTAGGAGGCATTCATCATCCAGCAGTTGATTACCCCCATACGCTTCGTGTCACCGTGGGATAGCCTCACCCTGCTATGGTAGTACGCCTCTGCCTCTGCGCGGTTTCTGGTGGCCACCACCTCGTACTCGGAGCGGATTTGGCTGAGGGTGGACATTAGGTCAAACGACTTGATGGTGTCGACCTCGATGATGGAGCCGCTAGAGACCTCCGTGGTGCCCAGGCGAGTCTGGAAGGTGGCGAATTCCTGCGAGGGAGAGAACAACGCAGAACCATGCGATCTGTTCACATCTGAGCACTTGTCCTGACAATGTAAAAATAAATATCATGATAACCTGGTCCTCGTTAAAACTCAATGGTTAAGCAGGGTTGACCCTGGTCAATGTGTGGATGGATAGGCAGTACCATAACGTTGATTTGAGACCGAAAGAATCGAACCCCAGCGCCTACCTCTTCATAGGTCTTCTTGAGGAAGGTCAGCTCGTCCGTCAGGGCCGTGTAGCGCGTGGTCAGGTTCACGCGAGTGTCGGTCGCAAACTCGATGTCCTACATCGGGGAGAGGCACGGGCACAAGCAAACCAAGCAAAGGCTTAGGGCCCCGGATTCATAAAAAAAGTGTTTTAATCAATTAGCAGCTCAGATTCAAATTCGACTTCACATAGCAATCTAATCAACATAAACAAAAAAACAATGAAATCTCTCTCGTCTCCATCTTGGCTGCGTCTCTCTGCTTTCATCAATATCTTAATCTAAATTTCTATTACCTCACTACATCTACGTACATATCATTGTCTATATCCATTTTCTCATCTGGCCCCCAGTGGACCAGCACCACCGCTGATCAGTGAGTCCAAGGTTGCCCCACGAACACCCCAGTAAACGTGGAACGTTGCGCCAACGTTTATTCAACGTTTCCAACCACATGTCAACGTTGGCACAACATTGCACGTTTCCTGGAACCACCGGGCGTCATAGCGTGCGACAAACTGGGTGTCCGTCACCCCAGTCCTCGTAACGGCCCCGTATTCCCATGCGTGTTGTTTGGTATGATATTCCCCTCGGCATGAAATGTTCTCAGGGGGAAACGAAGAAACTCTTGCCACGTGGAGCGAGTGAAACGTCGGACATCGCGCCGAGCAACACGCACGGCACAAGCCGAAAACAGCCGGGAGAGCGATGCTGGTGGTGACTCGCGCCTACCTTCTTCATCAAGCTGATGTCAGACTCCAGCTGGTAACGCACTCCGGCCTCGAACTCAAACCTGTGGCGGCAGCGGGCATCGGTCAGTGCAGCTTTACAAACAGGTGAAAGTGACAGTGAAATGTCGCGATGTTCCAAAATTACTGTAGTTAGGAGCTACGGTCATGATTTATCTTCTTGAGAAACTACGCATCCACACGTCCTCCGTACAAGTTCTTCACTCATCCAGAACAACCCTTTAAAGCAGTGTTCTTCACTAATTTTCAGAGGTGGGCTACTATCGCCGATAAGACATCAGGCCTCGAACCAATGTGCGCCCGGCTCGCGGCGGTGCAGGGTGAAACGGGTGGGCTGCCTGTCGGGGGAGACCTTACTTGGCTTTGAGCTCCTCGGCCGTGGCCCTGATGTTGTCCAGCTCGATCTCCAGGTTCACCTTGTCGAGGATGAGCGTCTCGATGGTGGTGCGCAGCTCCGTGATCTGGACCTCGTAGTTGACCGTGACCCCCCCGTCGGGCGAGAGCGGCGCGCCGCCCGTGATGGACGCGAGCTGTGCCTCGAGCGCCGCGTTCTCTCGCTGCAGGAGTCGAACCTTCTCCACGTAGCCCCCGAAGCGGTCGTTCAGGAACTGCAGGGTGCTCTTCTCCGCCTCTCGCGACGCCATGGGCGGGATGGTACCCACACCCACAAGGGTGCCGGACAGACCCCCGGCCGTCAGCATTTTGCCCGCGGCGAATGCGGGGCTCCCATAGGGGCCGACCCCGCCGCCGGGCCCGATGCCGAACCCACCACCGATCAGCCCCGGCGCGCCTCCTCCCGGGAGCATGTACCCACCACCTCCAAGACCCACTGCCCCATAGCCCAGACCAACTCCTCCTCCTCCATAGCCCAGACCAAGCCCTCCACCATAGCCCAAGGCTGCCCCTCCACCATAGCCCAAGGCTGCCCCTCCACCATAGCCCAGGGCTGCCCCTCCACCGTAGCCCAGAGCTGCCCCTCCACCATAGCCCAGGGCTGCCCCTCCACCGTAGCCCAGACCCAACGCTCCGCCGTAGCCCAGAGCTGCTCCGCCTGACCCGTAGCTTCCGAACCCGAGGCCGGCGCTAACTCCCTTGTAGGAGCTGCTGCTGCTGCTCTTCATTTGGCTGTACGAGCTGGAGCTCGCGGCCGTTGCACTCACTGCAGACGCAGACATTGTGGCTGAGAGGATGGATTGCTGCTGGGGAAACTTCGCTGCGGTGGAACAAAATTCAAGAGGGACCTCGCCAACGGCCGCAGCAGGTGAGAGAGATGATTATTCTGCCGCTACGAGAGAACGCCTTCGCCTATTTATCAGGAGAAGGTGAACAATTAGCCCAGTCACCGTACGAAGTTGCGCACGCGAGCCAGACTAGGCGTGATCAGTCACATTGTTGAAAGAATCCCTCAGAAGCGTCTGGCATATTTTGAATGGCTGGACGTGTGCTTGCTAGTCGCCAGCTAGCAATACGCTCATTACTGAGAGTCGAAGCTGCCAGCGAGAGAGGGAGAGTTATGGCACTGTCAGCAATTTACAGCCGTGATTCGCAGCCAGATATTTCATCAAGATCAGCATCAGCAGCAATATGGAAGAGTGCCTTACCGTTCAAAAGAGCAATGAAGCCACGTTACATTGGTGGCCCAGAGCCTGCAGTGGGATTTTCACATTCTCATAGCGGGGGTGGGACTCTTGATAAGGATAACAGACGTTGGTGTCTTCTTTGTATGGTACAGTACTCATTTTGTCACAGACTCCTTCAAACCTTGCAAACAATCGTTTTGTCTAATCAAACGACAAATCAAAAAGGTCACGCCAAGACACGCACGCGGTTAATGCAATGGCATTATACAGAACAATAACTGTACACGCGTCAGTGCTGACCAGCTCAGAAAACAATGGTCACGTAACAATAATATAAACGTATAAGTGAATACAGGGTTTGTAAACGGGGCTGTGCCATTGTTCCGAAGTCCACTTGAAGTCACGAAGGTCACTCGTTTCGCGCATTGTTTTCCTGGCTCAGCGTCCGGTCTTGCAGAATGTATCAGAGCAAAGTGTTTTCCGCGATCGCCTATCAAGGCTGCAACAGCGCACAACAAGGTGGCGGTGTGACCAGGACCACGCTCGGCCGCTTTTGTCTCACTCACGCCGCTGAATCTTCTCCATCCCGTGGCCGGAATGCGTTGACATCTGTTTGCGGCACGGTCAACACCTATTCACTTATTCATTGGGCCAGGGCTTAGTCAGCAACCGGTGGTGGCATTGTGCCGGTGCGGTGTTGGTGATTTAGTGGTCGTGGTGTTTGAGCTGGGGTTGACTGTAGACGTTGTGATGTACGATGATGGAGATAATAATGGTAAACATCCTCATCACCCATCGCTTTATCTAAAGTCGAACAAAAGCCATCACCGTCCCTGGCGTGCACGTAAACGGGCCTTGTCGCTCCATCTGTACGGTGGTCGCCCTCTCTGGGCTCGTTTCTCTCCTTCGGTTACCGTTCTATAGCCAGTGTCGTCCAATTTGCCATCATCCCGTCTCGCGACGTCGCCACGGTGGGGAGATGTTAACTACCTCGCCAGGTATACACGGGCGCGTGGGTTCGATCGCGACCCTGATGCCTGTTGTATATTTGGAGTGTTCATGTCCTCCTTGTCGTCGCGTGGATTTTTCTCCGGGTCTTCTGGTTCTTCACTCAACATTAAGAATACTTTTTATTTTATACGCGACTTTACCGAAAGAACCAAAGCGTAATTCCTGCAGTCATGAAAGCTTCGAATTTAGAATAAACATCACGTGTTTAGAGTGTTTTGGCTGCTTTAAATGCCCACGTGATAAGCCACTTTGTTGAGCTATAAATTGTGGCCAGATCGCTATACAGTGAGGGAAAAAAGTATTTGATCCCCTGCTGATTTTGTACGCTTCCCCACTGACAAAGAAATGATCAGTCTATAATTTTAATGGTAGGTTTATTTGAACAGTGAGAGACAGAATAACAAAAAAGAATCCAGAAAAACGCATGTCAAAAATGTTCTAAATTGATTTGCATTTTAATGATGAAGAGGTCAGGGGCGGGGTGCGGGTCGCGGTGCCCCCCCACCCACCCCCGCGTATCGCCCCTGGGCCCGCGCCGCGTGGCGTGGTCCGGGCGAGTCGCGCGAGCGTTGTGGAGGCGACCAACGCCGCTGAATCGTCAGCTTCGCGTGCCGAGCGCGCAGACTCCGCAGATCCCAGAGACAATGGAAGTCTTCTTGCATCCTTCTCTGCGCCCTGCACTGCGTGGGCTGGGCGGCCGCCAGGCCACGGAGAGAGAATGCGCCCTCTGCGTCACGCCAAATGCCGTGGCCGTGTGCGAGCGCGCACAGTGGAATGAACGAATGGCTGGCTCGCTGGCCGCTCCTGTATCCTTAAAGCAGTGGTTCTTAACTAGGTGGGTGCGAGATGCCCTTTCTAAACGGGTGCGTGGCATGCCGTATTTCTTTAGACGGTAAATAATCGAAACACAAATTAAGCACAGGAACGTAAGTACAACTACTTTGTTTCATCAAATGTATGTATTTATTAACATCACTACATTTTTTTATCGATTGTGAACCAAAGGAGTGCAAGGCTACAGTAAAGGATAAGGAACACTGCCTCGAAGCAACTTCTCTCCCGTCCCCCGAATGTTTTTTCCCCCTCAATTTCACGAGTGTAAAATATCATTTGAATAGATGTGCATGGTAGAATTTTTTTTTAAAAACGCTATTGTAATTGTCAGTTCACTTCTTATGTACGTTGAACTTATTTCGCACCGTACGTAGCCATCGATGCGAATCGGGAGTTGCGGTTAATCTGAAAGTTTTTTTTTTAATGTGGTTGAAATAAACTCACGAGTTAAATGTGCGTTAGATGTATTCAGTGGTTTTAAACATAGCCTCGTGATTGGAACAAGTGTTGGTTTGCGAATAAAATAAAAAAATATACGAAAAATGTTGAACTCTTTTTTAAAATATAAAAAAAAATATTTTGCGTGAAGTGTAACGTTGAGGGATGAATTGGGCATACAAATGAAGTCGCGTTCCTTGCTCGATATAAATCCTTGCTCAAACATTATTTGAGATAAAAGGGAAAAGCCATAGAAAAATGAATTATTTATTTACAATCATCTTAGAGTCGATGTTGATAAGAGCCAGGATGGTATTTCAGGGACTGCGGGTGTAGTTGTATAAACACTGTACGACTTCTCCTTTACAATGACTACGATACATCTTCGTCGAAGTTGACAATTTACGGTTCACCCCCCCCACTCCCCCCCCCCATGTATTAATCGGAATGTCTACTTAACGCAGAAACTTAAGGTAACAAGGAATGCAAACTTATAGGGACTAAAAGCTGTTTAACAACAAAACACAGCTCATGTGTCGCCTCTTATTTTATCAATGTGATCAAGTTTACACTTTGCTGAACACACGTTAAAGACGACATGCAACCCGCACTTTACCTGACTCTTAACATTGCCGTATTCTCTCGAGTTTCAGACTTTCCAGAAACTTGAGCCAACAGACTGTAGGGGCAAGTGCTGTTTGCGAGCACCAATGAAGGCTGGCACGGCACACGAGGGGGGTGTCCAACAACCACGCCCGGCCGCCTTTGTCTCCACAGTGGTGATGTTTACACGCCACACCACTCATTTGAGGCTGAGTCCACCTAGGGGAGGCCCAAAGCCGTTTCAGATAATAGTCACTGGTGTTGGCCGTGAGCGGGAATCGAACTCGGGTCAACTCGGGTCAACTCGGGTCAACTCGGGTCACCTCGGGTCACCGAGTTTGTCGCGCAGCGCGCTCACCACTCCACCACCGCTCCCCACAAACAAAGATCCACACATCTGGTCACACACACACAGCTCGTGGATTTTGAGGCGTACTCCCCACCCGTGCAACATTTGTTGACTACCTGAGGGAGAATGTGCGCCACGTAATCCGGGAAATACGGTAATTGCGAAGACATCTGTTGGTCCAGATGTCTTGTGACCCGCAAATAATTTATCCCTAATAACTTTTTTTCTTTGCATGCTCATTTCTGTCGTCACACCCATTGGTATATACAAAAAAAAATCAGTTTTAGATAATTAAATGGAGGTCACAAGGCATCTGGACCACACTTTACAGCGCGTCCAGCAAGCAGCCGCATAACTTATAGACGTACAAGCCAACGTGATTGTCATTTCATCATACTTTAACCAGGCTCGCCAGTGCGGGTCGCTCAAGAAGGGGAGCACAGACATACAGTACAACGGTGTTTTTTTTTGTCAAGGCTGCCCACCACATGGCCGTGACACCCCTGGGCGTGCTGAGTTGTGGCCAACCCAAGCGCTCCCCACCAGGCTCGGCCACCCCGCTTAGCCTGCCCCATCGGGCGAGATCGGACGCATCCCGGGTGATTTGGCGATGGGCGTCAATCTTACATGCAACGCTCATGCAAATCACGCCCTGTTGTTTATCTCGGTGCCGCAACTTTCATTATTTAAATTACAATCAATATGATTTGAAGTGTCGTTGCCGTCCGTGCGCGTGACCGAAAGGGGAAGCTGGAGCCAGCGTGGTTTTAACTCGTGAGCAAGCCGAGATGACCAGATGCCCCCAGTTGGGCAAGAGCGTCCGTTGCGCTGATCGGCACGTGGTATCGCAGCGCGGGCACGAGACAATGTGCAATGCAAGTGCAACTCCGTCTGTCTTCAGGGCTGGCGGGGCTCTTGCACACTCGTAATCGAGAGCCGGTGGCCGATTTCTGTGCGAGAGGACCGCCACAAACAGGATGGGTGCCTCTCCTTGCGGTTCAGCAGTCCACGTTAGATAAGCCGTTTGGTGTTCCCATTTTCAACAACAACAACAAAAAGGCCCACCGTTGTTGTTTATAATATTACATCGGTGGCGATGTTATCTCCCTCGCCTGGTATGCAGGAGGTCGTGGGTTTGACCCCGACCTGACGCATGCTGTATATTTGGAGTGTGCATGTTCTCCCCGTGGTGGCGTGGATTTCATGTAACACGATGTCGATGTTTAGGAGAGATTATATATATTTTTAGTCGATTGAAACGCCAAGATCCATCTTTCCTCTTCGTGACAAACCAGTGTTGTTATTTCGTGTCTATACATCCACACTGAATAACAACACTCCTTTTCCTTTGACAAAAATTTACTTTAAACAAAAAATAGACTGGCAGTGTTGACATTACATGTTTAAGGTAACGGGGCTGTGACGCAAACTATGATCATGATGGTGAAATTTAGTCACGAGAAATAGATGATTTTTTCTTCTACTTAAAAATCCAAATCTTTATTTAGACTTCAGGAATCCGATGAGCTATGAAGATCTTTTTCACAGAAGTGATCGATCCATCACTGGTTTTCCTCATTTTCTTCGAATGCTGTATGATTGCATGCCAATTCATCTGGACTGAAATCAGAAAAGGACCCTGGGGTTTTTTTTCAGTTTGAAGAAACTGGAAAAAATAAATGTTCTTAATTTTTAGCCAAAAGTGGCCAACATTTACTTTTCTTTAAAAATAAGTCGATTCCCCCCTTCGTGTTCAGGCTTAATGTGCTATATTTGAAAATAAACGTTGACTTTTTCACCAAAAAAGCTTATCTGAATGTAGCCAACATGCTATTTATCAGTACGTTTATTCCCTGCATTGGGTTTAAGCCTCATATGCTATGTCCAAGGAAAGTGGGAATTTTGACGATAGTTTTCACACAAAAATTATCGAAAACATTTATATTTACTATTTGTATAAAAAATTCCTCCACCGTGCTAAGGCTAACTCCAGCCCA